AACTCCAAATCATCATTTTTCCCCTTCTTTTTCTTCATATCCTTCTTCTCCTTCTTCTTGCTTTTGCATGACAACTCTTGAACTTCAACACCATCATCATCATCATCGCCATCATCATCATCTAAATCAATCAAAATGATGTCATTATCATTATGATCATCCATAAAGAGGACACGATTCCCATTATCGCTGGGAATCGGTTTCTTGGCCTTCTTGGAAGTGGTTTTGATTTCCTCATCCGATTCGAAGTGGATCGGGCTAGGTCCATGGCTATTCTTCTTCTTCTTCTTCTTGTTCATAGAAGCTGTGCCCATTCTCTCCCGAGACGAACCAGACTCGGACATTAAACTCCTCTTTCTCTTCTTCTCAGCATTGTAATCCATGTAGAACTCATTCCATTGATTCCTCGTTTTCGGCCTCCCTGAACTGCTTGAAGAATTGTACATCTTCCTGTCACAAAGTAACAAAAAACAGAACTTTAATCAAATTGATTGTTTCATGAAAAAAAACACAGATCAACATACATAAATTGAACAATTAATCCTTTGTAAAGGAACTTGTTTTTTTTTTGAGAAAAAAAGGGGGGATAAATTGAGCAATTTCTTTCTAAATAAACATTCTTTGAAAACATTAAAAAGAAGTCTAGTGACATTAAATCAAACATTCCTTATCAAGTCCCTTGAGCTTCATATCAAGATTCACTAAAAAAGGAATGGCATTCAATTAAAAAAAAAAAGAAGTTTTAATTCTCATAAAAAACCCCATCAAGATCACGCTTGGAATTCAATTCCTTTTGAATGAACTAAAACATTACCCAAGAAAGGTGGAGGAACCCCCCGGAGGTTTCCGGCGGCGGCTATGCCAAGCCGCGCCGCCGCAGAACCCTTTTTTCCGCCGCAGAACCCTTCTTTCCCAACGTAACGTCTAGAGTGTTAAAAAATAAATTAAAAACAGGTTCTTGAAAAAGAATCTATATGAAAAAAAAAAACTTTTTTTTAAAAGAAAAGAAAGAAAAACCCTTTAATGGCTAGCAAACAAATGCGTACTGAACAAAAAAGAAGAAAACTAAAGAAAGTAATAATTATTACTATTTCGTAGAGATATATTATTACCCAAATTAATATAATCTTCTGGGGAAATTAATTGAGAGAGAAAGGGATCTTTATTTTATTATATGATCAAAGATTTTGGAAGGAGAAAGAAGATGAGAGGGCGCGCGGGAAGAAAAAAAAAAGGAGAGGAAGTGATTACGTCAGCGCGTCTCGCTCTCTTCCCGAAAAAGGCGCTGTGGGCCGTTAAGAATCGCGTGATTTTTCCAACTGGTCTGGCGGACTTCATGTTTTTGGCATTTTATAGCTATGGCCGTACTCAAATAGGATAGGGAAATACAAAAAAAAAATTACTTAAAATAAAAACGAAATATAGTTTTATTCTCAAAATATGAATGTCTTTTTTTAATTCCCTTATTTGGCAAACAAAATTAAAATAAAAATGAACTTACTATTTTACCCTTACTACTTTACATTTATTACATTTATTGCATTCAACCTATCCACCCTTATTACATTAATATGATATTGTAGCTTCCTCTTTCTTTTATTTTTCATTGGTATATGTGTAAAAAGTAAATCAGACAATTTCATGGCCTTCGTCAAGACATACAGAGTACAAAGTTTTATTTTGATATAAATTTTATTCTGTATATATTAGTCTTATTTAGATAAATTTTTCATTCCAAATGGAAGACAGATTCAGAATAATACTAATAAAACATAGAAGTAGAAAGGAAACCATAATAATTCAACAACCTTTAACTCTCCAATATAGAACTTATTTTAAATTTCTAAAAATAAAATAAAAATCATCTACAAACTAATTAGAATTTAAAATTAATAATTTCAATCTAAAAAAAACTATCAGCTCGATCAGATGTTGCCGCCTCCGTGAATTGCCACCACCGCCCCATACGGCGAAAGCCGCCATGCTCTGTCATTGTCACTGTTTAAGTGTCATACAATGACATAATATGAAACATAGCAACAGTCACACACGAAAATATATAATGACAATCATAATTCATACATGCTGAGATATAGAGTAATATATGTGAATGTATGACATGATAATGTTAAACATGTTAATATAAAAATAAAAAAGAGCAATCAAATTAGGATAGTAATTAATTCTAAAGGAGAAGCATAGAAATCTAATTCTAGAGGAGAAGCATCTTGATTCTCAATCAAAAAAAAAATTATAAATAAATGCCAAAGTTCTTAAACTAACGATGGATAAATGAAGTGCCAAATAATATTTAAAAACAATCCAAAAACTCAAGATACACAATCCTATATATAATATCTAAACGATATTCTTAAAACTTTATCGATGTTTTAAAAAATAAAGTTTTATACCGAGTATGATTTTTTAAAAATAATTGATCATTTCTCTTTTACTTCTTTCAAATAAAATACTTATAGAATTTGTAGTGCATGTACATCATTATTTAAAGTATAGTTTTTATTTAAAAATGATATATCTTAGAGTTAAAAAATCATATAATACATATTATTTCACTATTAGGAAATTAAAATATATTAATTTATATTTATAAAATGCCAAAAATTTAAAATTTATATGAGTGTGTGCGAAGTAAGGGGTTGGTACTAATTGAACTTAAAAAGAAGCATGTTTATCAAATTTATTACAAAATAACGGTGTGAGAACCAGGTCGCGAGTTTTTACTTACAAATTTTTTCAAGCCAATCCAAGTTTTCATGAGTTCTTTAGAGGTTAGATTAGACCGATTGGGGGTTCGCTTTCCGATTTAACTAGTAGGACTACTACTCGGATCGGTCTGATTTTTATAATAATGTGAGCCAAAGTGGTTGTAAGTCCATGATAACTTTATACTCTATACTACTAACACACTCCCTCACATGCAGGTAAAATTTACTTTTTGCTCGAATATTGAAAGTGGAATATTAAAATGATATATTAACTAGAAACAAACAAATAAGGGAAACATGAATTTGAAATGAAGAGAGTAAAAAGAGACCAAACAAAATAGAAGAGGACAATGGATAAATATAAACATGTCAATGTAAAAGATTAAAAACAAAAAAAATGAACAATCATATCATATAACGATACTAATCTTGCTCTAAAGTAGGCATCTCAATTCTAATTAATTATAAATGTCAAAATACAAAACTGGACATAATTGAAAGCATGTAAAAATTTTGATCAAATTTACAAAGAAGACTCAACATATAGTCAACAATTATATCCAAGATTGATTTTATACACTTACACGCTTCCTAACGTGAACCTAAGATTTAATTTATTTTTGATCGAACTTTGCACGTAGTGAAACTTAATTTTCTAAGATTGAGTGACAATGTGGTTCGAACTCGTAACTTCTTGGTCATCAACACTCTAATACTATATGAAGAAACTAGCTCAACCAAAACTCAAATTTATGATTGTGGGCCCATGATAAGGTTATACCTTAACACGCCCCCCCCTCACGTGCTAGAGAGATTTATTTTTGCTTGAACCTTGCATGTGAAATTTAATAAGTTTTTAAATTGGGTGGCAGTGCGTTTCGAACGTAACTCGTGACATTTTGATCTTCAAGACTCTGATACAATGTCAATGAACCAACCCAACAGAAAATTCAAGTTTATAGTTGTGGGCCGAGGATGAGTTTTATACTATATCACGGAGATCTCGATAAATTAAAACTCAAGCACAAACATAGAAGTGATTTCAAATTAAATTATCATTTTTTTTGAGCACACAATTCAACACCATTCTATTTAGAAGACATTTTAATTGTCAGTTTTAGAGTAAGGGGTATATTGAAATTAAATTACATATCAATACAATAAGTTAATATTTTTCTTCTATTTTTTGATCACCTAAATGGTATTGAAGCATCTAGACAATGTTTTAGCAATGGATTTTTCTTCCACTCCAATCATATCATCTATATGAGTAGTGTTCGGAGTACAAAGTAGTGTTTATATACTCACTCCTCTACAAATCTTATTCTCATTCGACTTTTTACGATTTCAAATATTGCACTTTGATTATCACTAGTATCTATATTTATACATAGATACTCCGTATATTTTATAAAAAATTAATATTTCACACTACATTTCAATTGAAATATATTGATATTAAATTTATGTTGTAATACAATATAATGTATTTTTTCATATGTCGTAGTCAACATGTAATGTAATTTTTATTTATTGGATGATCAAAATTTGTCAACCATGGCTCCATAGAGTTAAATTGGACAAATTTCATAACCGACTCAACCAAAAGTTTAAACTTATGATTGTAAGTTCATGATAGGTTTATACCCTAACACGCTCCCTAATGTGCAAAAGAGATTACTTTTTGCACGAATCTTGCTTAAAATTTTAAAAGCGAGTTACTGTGCTTCAAACGTAACTCGTGACCTTTTGATCATCAAGCTCTGATACCATGTTAATGAGCCAACAAATCAAAAATTCACCTTTATGGTTGTAAGCGGAAAATTGATTTTACACTATCATGGAGGTCTACATAAATTAAAACTCAAACACAAATAGGGAAGTGATTTCAAATTAAATTATCATTCTCACATATTTTTTTTGGTTGAACCTTGCACGTGAAACTGGATGACAGTGTGGTTCGAACTCGTAACTTTTTGGTTACATATCAAGAACTCGTAAATGTAACTCGTAACTTGTTGGATCAACCCGAATTTAATGACACTGAGTCATGAATATGTAATTGTCAATCCGAACCCAAATTTAAAGCCTCCTATCAAATGGTAAAGATCTAAATTCAAATAAATTAATGCTCAAAGGAAAAAACTTTACGCATTTTATTTTTGAACCGTCCCTTTTCTTTAAAAAAAATAATTTTCTAAAATATTCTTAAAGTATTAAAGTTTTTTTTTGACAAAAATGTCAGGAAATTCACGAGATCAACTGCAAATTGGTCTTCGTCCCCAGCTCTTTCTCTGTAATAATTCATATTTTTGTTCCATCGGATCCACCAGCACTACAACCTGCATTGGATGGATCTGATCGGAGAGCTTTCAATAAATTTCAATTCCTCATTTCGAAATTGATCGATTTTATCTCATCATCGTTGTTCTTTTTTTCCCCTTCAAAAATTCCCCCTCACGAAGCTATGAGGTTTTGAATATCGACATTGTTGCGATTTGCATGATCCATAACATCATCGGAGCAAACATATAAAAATCAGAATTGGAACTTTGAGGAATAATGGCTTCGTTATCTGCAATCAGCGAGGAGCTCGCGGAAATCGAGGGACAGATTTCGGATATCTTTCGAGCTCTCACGTAAGTGTTTTCATCTTTCAACTCCAGAATTTAACAATGAGTGTGATTTTTATTCGTGCAATGCAGTAATGTGTTTTTCATATTTATGTATCTATTTATTATTATTTTTATTTGATGCAGTTTAGGTGTTTTTGTCAATTTTATCTTTGATGTTGTTAAGTAATTGGTAATTTTTTATGCAGGAATGGGTTTCAGAAATTGGAGAAGATTAAGGACTCCAACAGGCAGAGCAGGATGCTGGAGGAGCTTACTGAGAAGATGCGAGAATGTAAGAGGTATTTAGTTACAAACTTTGATGAGTTTTTTTTTATTTTGGTATTTTCTTGAATCTTGTGTATTCTCGTTTGAGGATTATCGGCTAAGATACAAGTCCCTATCATATTTCATATGCTTCTCAAAGACTTGAACTATTTTATATTGCTCGGTAATGACTACCATTATTCATCATTGTTCGTATGAGTTTTTGTTGTACAGAATGTGACTTGTGTTGAAATGATATAGTCGGTATAATAGTGTACCAGACTTTGGAACCAGATATTTGGTCAATCTCAGGGATTGTAACTAGAATCAAACTTACTTCACTAAAATTTGTACCGTCTTCAGCATCCTTTATTTTGATATGTCTACATTGAGATACCGAGATTCAGCTATATAAGCTCAGGAGGTTTGGGATTTGCAGCGCGAAAAGTGTTTCAGCTTGAACTCTCAATGTTTCTTACTCCGTATTTAAGTATGTGGATTGTGACGTAATTGGAGAAGACTGATTGTTGCTTTCTTTGACAGGTTAATTAAAGACTTTGACATAGAAATAAAGAATTTGGAGCTTCGAAAAGATGCAAGCACAGATAAGATGCTCAATGATAAAAAACAAGCAATGGTGTGATTTCATCAAACAAATATTTTAATGTGAATGGTAGAAATGTGAAATATATTTTTTATTCTTAATTACAATCTGATGTATCCTTTCTATGTAGATCAAAGAACTGAACTCATTTGTTGCTATGAAAAAGCAGTAAGTCCTGCAACTCACTATTTTCAGTTTTCTTTGAAGGGTATTCATGCTTTTGTGCTGTGTCTTTTAGTTAATGATTCAATTTCTTTCTTCTCGGTGATGATGATACAGATATGCAGCCACTCGTGAAAACAAGCGAATAGATCTTTTTGAGGGCCCTAGTGAAGGTTTTGCTGAAGAGAATGGTTTGCTAGCTTCAAGTAAGTCTACTCTCTTTGCTTTTCAATTTCCTAAAGTGTGCAGTAAACCAGTACTTCATATTTAACTTTTGAGTGATGTCTGTTCCATTTTCATTTTTATTGTTCGTATTTGTATTTTGAAGCATTGTTCGTGGATTGTTACTTTACGAGTATATAAAACTATTATTCTGCTGTTATTTGTCTCAAGATTTCTTTTTGAGAATATCTCTTTATAAACTAGCCTCCCATCTCGTTATTTGTCAAGCGATGGTTTTACCGTCTAAATATTAGATTTAAGAGTATAAATACCAGTTTGTTACATCCCTGAGTTCCCCATTGGCTAAGGATGCCAACACATTTACATTGCTAAACCCATCATCTACACAATTGAGTTGTATTTTCAAGAAAGTTTACTTACTTTTATGATAGTAGATAAGTAGTTTGTTGTTAACTTGTTATTACTTGTCAATCTTTGGCGATGAGTTTCCCCTTTCATATGTGAAAATCACATTGTATTGTTCAGTTCCAGATATGTCCTTTGATATGATAATTCATTTACTTCAACAATCAAGTACAGATCTGTATGCGTTTTTGTTATTTTCCTGTTATAAAGAATTCTGACTTATTTTTTTACTATATTCCAGATATGACTAATCAACAGCTAATGGATCATGGCAATCAGATGATGGATGAGACTGATCAAGCCATTCATAGAGCACAAAAGGTATGTCATTCAGTTCTCTAGTGAACACTGTAAGTTTGCTCTCAAATATTGAACTATGCCCTTAATACCAGTCTATGTTCGATTTGCTATGTTGGATTTTCGAGACAAATTTCTAAAGAACTATAATAATCTAGAGATGCATTCACATGTCAATTATGCATTACCTTATACTTTTGATATGGGGTCTTTCAAGATTAGGTACTGACATAAGAAGTATAGAGGTACACTTGATTTTGCTTCTATTCTTTAAAAGGACAGTGGTCTTACAATAAAATCAAATCAATTAGGCTATCCCATTCTCACACAATTGGAAACTAAACTTTTTAGGAATCCTTCAATTCCAGATACAACATACAAACACAGGTGTGTGTGTGTGTGTGTTTAGGATCTACAAATTCACTCATGATCAAATATGAAGAAGGAAATCGAAGATTTTAGAAGAAAATCATAAGAACGAAGCTCAAAGTTCGTGGTATTGGCGTATTGCTCAATGGATAAACTCCACCACTGTAGGACTATATATTGACAATTTTAGTGTATATACAATTCTATAGAACTCTCTATAAAATTGCCACAAGGGAATAATGAAGGTATAGCCAAGAAGCCACAATACTTTTAAAATAGCATCAAGCTCCACAACCCAACACGTGTGTGTGCTTGTGTTACAAAAGTGATGGTATGATGTTATAGATCTATGGTTAGCTCTCCTTGTAATCCACTTTTACCTTGCTGTTTCAAAATCTTAGCTTCTTACAAGTGAGAGTCCATTTTTAGTTTTCCCATATAGGATGGTATTTTCAAGTTTGTTTTTCCATTTATAATCTATTGGCACCTGGAAGTTGAAACGAATACAAAAGATTGGCCACGTGCCTCCAAATTTTAATCAATTTGGTCTTTGTAATGTAAACTAAAAACATTTCTTAATTTTTACTCTCTTTTGTCCACACTCTGTGCTACCTTAAACGTTTAGAGGCACAATTTTACTATGCTTTTTTTTCCTAGGTGGTGCATGAGACTATTAATGTTGGAACTGAAACTGCATCAGCTCTCAAAGCACAGGTACCTCCTTCTAAAACACGGAATGATATTGTGTGTGTGTGTGTGTCCAAAAGCAAAATGAATGTGTGCACATATCAAATGCTAATCCTTTTAGTCTCCTTTTTCTGTTCTTTTTTATCTCTTCTCTTACATACACTTTGGTGTTCTCAGACTGAACAGATGAGCAGGATTGTTAATGAACTGGATTCAATCCACTTCTCTATCAAGAAGGCTTCTCAACTGGTCAGGGAAATTGGTAGGCAGGTCAACCGCTGAAATTTTCACATGGTCTTGTTATACATCAAATTGATATTGTTGTTGTTGTTGTTGTTATTATTACTATTCATATTATACAAGGAATATAAGAGTTGAGTCTCGTTATGTTCTGAAACTAGGTTGCAACTGATCGTTGTATAATGGCAATGCTTTCTCTCATTGTGCTTGGTGTTGTTGCAATCATCATTGTGAAGGTCAGTTACATTCTCTATCTATTTATATTCTCAGTTTCTATAAGATGTCTCTTTCATACTCTGTGTATGCATTGTAACCCTATAAAGTATAAACTAGTGAAGTATACGGAGTATTTGTTTGTCAGGGCTGGCCCTGTGAGCGTGCTAGGTGTGTCTGCACCTGCACAGGGCCCCCTATTTTTTTAGGACCCATTTTTTAAAGGCTCCATAGTTATGAATACTTGACATGTTAAAAATGATAATTCATGTGTATAATTTAATATATTAATAGTCAATAATGCATTATAAAACTTTACCCTAGTCTTGTGGGATTCAACTGGATTGTCATTGTTGCATTATAAAGCTTTATTTTGACACTAAATTTGAGACGAAAGAAGTATTATATAAGTTCAAAAAATGAAGAGGGTCTGAAACATATTTTCACACAGAGGCCTTTAGAAATTTTCTTGTTTCAGGGACTACCCAGTTTGTTTCTCTTTTTTTCCCACTTGTACTAGGAGTATGATAGGAATCAACGTATGTGTGAAACTATTGCCCCCTCTGTGTCACTATTTTATCTTCATTCAAAAATTATCTCACGAGGAAATGGTTCTTTGTTTGATATTGTTTCTCTCTACAAGTTATATACTAGGCTTTAACAGTTACATAAAAAGTGGATCTTATACAAAAAAACAAACCCAATGAAATCCCACCTAAGGCTTTCTTCGTTTGGGTTGAAAAAACAGAGTTGAATGTTGGAAGAAACTGGAAGGAGTTGGAAAAACTTAGAAGTTAATTTTTCCAACCCAAATGAAGAGACCCTAAGTGTAGGGTCTAAGGATAGTGTGTACATAAAATTTGCCCCTACTTGGAAGCAGAGAGGCTCTTTCCAATAGCTATATATGAGATACTTATTGAGTTTACTTTTTGACTGTCAGATTGTTAATCCCCAAAACAAGGACATCAGGGACATTCCGGGATTAGCCCCACCCGCACCCGCGCGAAGATTGCTGCTCTCATATCCTAACTGAAACCCAGCACCAGAGCCCTGAACACGAGTTTCGCCACTCAGACATCTCAACCTCATCGGGAGAATGTGCGGGGCCAAAGCTATTGGAGGGCCCCGCGACGGACACTTTGGCTTTCTTTGACCTGATCTGCCATTTTTCACATGATGACCCTACTTACTACTGTGTTGTGTGCTTGGATAGGGTGGAATTGGAGTTGAGTATATTCTTGTTTTATGTATTCCATAAGTTTATATTGTAGTGAGCTTTCCATTTGATTACTAAAGTGCCTTATGGAAGGAGAGAAAGACATGAACTGGAATTTGTGTATAAACACACACACACACCAACATAATTGTGTAGCTGTCATTATGTATCTCATGGGCATATGAGTTGGATCAGCCCATATGTGTATAGTACGTGGACCAGGCCCAATACAATCATTTCCATTCTATTATTAATATATGTATCTATATTCTATACTAAAGCCCAACACTGTTGGTCATAGGGTGAAGCCCAAAGTGAAATGAGTCAGAAATGAGATTGGAACTGTCAAAGAAGTGGGTGAGGTAGACATTAGGGTTTCCATGATTTCTTGTGATCATGGGCACCCTTCCCTTACCTTCTCAGAAGCTGGGACATGATTGATTAAATTTGTAAAATATTATTTTTTGTAAAAATAATTTTATCACTTAATTGATATAGAAATCAAAAGTATTTACTTTGTTCCAAATTAAGTTGTCTATTATTTATAAGTCAAATTTTATTCATTTTTTTCTTCATATTTTTGCTATTCATGTGATAAAATAATATAGTCATGTCACATATTTTTTCTAAAGTTTTTAAAATACATTTTTTGCTTTTGAAAAATAGAATACCCTTGATATATAAATAAATCACATTATCTAGCTATCTCTATATTCTTTCGATTTATTGCTTCGTATTATTGTCATAATTAGTACACTGGATTAAATTACGTTGTACATTATGACAAAGTTGCCCATATGGCCACAGTAGTTAATAAGGTACAGTCCGAGTACCTTTTTTGAAGGTACATTAAATCAAACATGTAATTGTTTTTTTTCCCACAAAATGAACGCTATGCTGAGCATACTTTATAATGAACATTACGGTTGAAAATGAATATTCTGTTGATTCAAACTAATATTCAATGAATGTATATAGCCACATATAACAAAAATATTAATCCGCACTTGATCCACTATGTACTTCCTTCAACAAAAGTAGATTGGTGCACTAGGTCAAATTCTCGACAACGTCACCAAAATTTAAATTTCTAAATATGTGCCCCAAAAGCAATTTGTGAAACAAATATAGTACAGAGTATTATTTCCTTCTTAAACTAAACTAGATAACCTAACTCTTATAATCACATTAATTTACATTCTCGAGGACGACATGATTAAAATTTTAGAATATCTGGCCTATACACCATAACACGCAGCATACAGTCACACATATAACCACGCCAAATATATATATAGTTATGATAGAAAATAATTTACACACAGACACACAACGTAATTATATTGTGTATTACATGCAACAAAATTGCCCGTTCTACTCCGTATTTCCTTCAACAATAATAGATTGGTGCACCCGATCAAATAATCAATGACGCCGAGGATATTTAAATTAAAATTTTAAATATGCGCGCCAGTAGCGACCTATGATAATTACAATTTACAATATTCTCGAACGCGACATGATTTAAGTTTTAAAAAAATGCGCGAAACACTTATATCTCGAGCATGTCACACAACATACAATCACACTATAACCACGTCTCAGAGTTCTGCTAGGAAACAATTCACACACATCAAAATTTATAAAAAAAATCAAATCTTTATATATATGATTAAAATTCAAATTGAATTATTTCTTTTGACAAAAACAGAAATCTTCTCATCATTTTTTAAAATTTGTTGTCCATTTCCATTTGAAATTGATTAATTATGTGAGTGTAACGTACCCATGTCATCACAGTAAATTTTATTATGTGTAGATACAGAGATATAAAGATGACAGCTTTTGCTTGACTTTGTTGTTTCCTATATAAGACCGATCAATTAATATTCTTTAAATTATTTCCTCATTTTGCATTTACATGAAAGATTCAGTCATCAATGTAACCTCTGTAAAAATTTATCCGATATTGCTTCATCATGCTGGTGAAACAACAACAACAACAACAACAACAATAATAATAATAATAATACAATACTGTACTAATTTAATTTCCATGAATTATGTTATTGTAATTTTTAAAATTTATTATGTCAAATAAAACGAGTCAAATCTTTACAAATATATTGAGTAATATTTAAAATGAAAATATATTACGGAGTATATTTTACAAATTACAAATCTTTTGTACTCCCTCTTTTTAGCATTATTTGATGCGATTACAATGTATTATCTGTTCATATTAATGACTCATGAGGAAGTTCATCTAAGTTTGAGCTCCAGCGGAGACGAAAGTGTTGGCTCTTTGCGCATCGTCATCAGTTGGAGAAAAATATGAATAAATACTATATATATTGTACGTAATAGAATCAATAATATTAAACAAAACAATGCTACAATATGATATTTTAATAACAACATGAAAAGTCTTACAAAACAATGACATGATTAGACCATGTGAGTAGTGTTTATAATAAAAGGAATTTGAAAAAGCAAGATTTATCTTGCAAAATACTATATCTGGATATATAAAAAGAGCAACTCCTAATTCTTCTAGTTAATTCTCACCCATTCCAGTTTTTTCATTTTCTTTTAGTTTATTTGAACCACATAAAACTTTATTTACATGTGATGTATACACAACATCATATGTCCAAATTTATAACATACCATCTCAAACACGAGAACGCAATGATTTTTTTAATCTAATATTAGTTTTCTTACATATTCCATATTTATTTGGGTACTCATTTAATTGCGTGATTTATTTAACCATTTATTTTTCCAACTTCTTCGAATTTCTTCAAACCCATTGCAATTTCAATTCTTTTAGCATGTATTTTTTTTCAAACATCTAACTTTAGAAATCAAACCGAAAAAAAGTTCTAATTAGTCATTATTCGAAGCGAAAAATAGCCCTAATTAGTCATACATGCCGCATGAATGCAATTGCAAAACTATCCATCGGCGAAAACTAATACGGAGTATGCATCCAAATTATAATGACTTTCTCAATATAGAACCACAAACACACACACACACACACATAATGACTTTCTCAATATAGAACCATATGTTTTTATTTCCTCAATGTAGTACCATTAATCATTATTTATTAGTCATTATTCAACTAAATGTCCAGCATCACTTGGACATTATTCTTCTCACTAGTCATTATTAGATCTTATTTAGATATTAACAAAGTTTAAGTCCTACATTGAGAAATGACTTATGTTTTAGTCCTATTCAGTGCAAATTTCACTATATTAAAATGTACTCCGTATGCATGTGTACATTTGGACATAATAATCCGTAAAACACATGTACACCCCGTAGTCTGTATACATTTGATAGTTACGTAGACAATACTTCCCCGTTCCACAAAAAATTTCTATTTGAAAAAAGACAAACTTAGAACAAAGTGTAATTTTGAGGTATTTTGTGGGACGAAGGGAACATGTACAGATTATTTGGATGTAATAGCGAGAAATATTTTGTGGGACGAAGGGAACATATATAGACTATTTGGATGTATTCCCTTCATCGCACGTGTTTTTCCAGATTTGACTTTTTATAGTCAACCAAAACAAATCTTTGATAAATAATTAAATAAAAATTATAATGTACTCCCTCCGTTCACCAAACAGATCCTTTTTTTTACTTTTGTAGGATTTGTTTTTGAAATTAACTTTCTAATTAAATCATTTGTGTCGAAAAGAAAAGAAAGACAAATTACTTAAATAACTTATTACATCTATTTAAAATTAATGCAATATATTGAAATGACTTTATTTTGATGTATTAGTCATTTTAATAAAAAAGGAAAGTATTTTGGTGAAAAGGAAAAAAAATGAAAGAAGAATGATTTTAGTGAACAAAAGGAGTATATTAACTAAATAAAAACTATTTTGATAATATTTTACAAGATAAATCTAATAAAACTTTCTTAAATCAATATCTATAATTACTTTTATTAAATGCATGACCAATATTTATAAATTTCGACTATAAAAAATCAAAACTAGACAAACACTCTAGTATTGTAGAGAGTACAATTTTAGGATCATTCTCAATTTTGTATTTCTTCCACGTGTCATTGACTTTTTAACATTTATCACTCGTGGCCCACTGATTTACACGCGCGGGGGGAGTGTGAAATTCAGTTTTTACCGCTCGTAGGTGTTTTAAAGCCCCTCCTATAAATACCGAGTTTTCAAACACCGAAAATCAGAAGTGAGAAAGAAAATAAAAAAAAACTATGGAGACAGTGGCGGTGATGAAGAAGACGAGGGGGAGGCAGAAGATCCCGATGCGGAAAATCGAGAACGAAGGCGACCGGTTCGCCACGTTCTCGAAGCGCCGCAAAGGGTTCTACAAGAAGGCCAGCGAGCTCTCCTGGATCTCCGGCGCCGACATCGGGATCGTCCTCACCTCCCCCACCGGCAAGATCTTCTCCTTCTTCAACCCCTCGCCGGACTCCATCACCTGCCGCCTCTTCAGCCGGGGCCAGTGGCTGGGCGAGAGGGCTCTGGCGATCGACGCGCGCTCACGCGCCGCCGTGGACGAGCTCTACGGGGCGATCGACGATCTGGAGTCTCACATGGAGGCGGTGAATCAGAGATCGAAGATTCTGGATCTGAGCCTCCGGCGGCCTCCGCCGCCGCAGGGGAGGAGGACGTGGTGGGAGGAGGATGTGGCGGAATTCACGGCGGAGGAGGTGGAGCGCTATCAGGCTTTCCTGGAAGGGCTGCAGAATGGGGTGAGTAGCTGCTTGGGTGCGGCCATTCTCGGAGCTCCTCCGGTCTCCTCCGCCGCTGCCGCCGCCCCTCATGAGGCTGCTGCCGCCGCCTTGTATTCTGCTTTGCCTTCAAATGTAGGCAATAATATATAGGGTCTAGAGATTTGTTCTGCCATGCAAGTAAGCATGGATTTTAATTTGGATGAATTCATGATCTTTTTTTTTTAAAAAAACAAATGAATAGAAATAGTATAAATTTGTGTTTCCTTTTTTATCCATTCCAAAGAAGGGTTCACTCTTTTTTTTTTGAAAATAATTTTGTGGCCCTTATAATTTCTATATTCTTTGCATCACTATAAATCACATCATATATTTTCAAAAAAATAAAAATAAATCACATCATATTACTCCTTTTATTAATTTTGGTGCGTCTCACGTTAAAGGGAAAACATTTTTATTACTTGATGCGAGTTAGTTTCGAACTCTTTACTTATTGGTCAAGAAGACTCAGATACCATGTTAATGAACAAATTCAACTAAAAAACTCAAACTTGTTATTGTATACTAAAAATATATATTTTACTCCAACAAAATGTTTAATACTCTATTTGTCCTTTTATTTCCGTAACATTATAATTTAAGATCTGACAATTTTTTATTGAAATTATTTTTAATTAAATTTCTCTAAATATTGCTATAAAAAAGAAAAAGAAAATCTTCCATGATAGGAGTAAAAACAAAATGAAAATATCAGTATAGAAGTCTTAAGTCTTTTAATACTAAAATACAAGTTTAATGAAAGTGTGATATAAATGTACGCGTTGACAGTGTGATGAAAAAATAATGACAATGTGACTCGTCAACAATCGATAATTTGCGATGGCACTCTAGTTGCGTCGATGAAGGATGGCATTATAGTAGTGATAGTGTAACCATTGTAATATAACAATGTGATGAGTAAGATAGTGTAACAATGACAATGTAAACAACTATTTTTATCTTAAAAGACTTAGAACTCATATTTTAGTATTTTCTTAACTTTTTATTCTTATCCAGAAAGTTCTCTCAAAAGAAAAATGATACGGAGTATATTGTTAGAAGGGTGTTGCAAAATCCACTCCTTTTGTTAAATTCACAACTTTTATAAAATGGAGAAATTTATCCTTAAAGTGTAATACTCCGGGGTAACAAAGAAAAGCAAAATGTGGACTAGCTTAAGCATAAATTTGAACATTTGTTGAGATGGATTTAACAAAAAGAAGAGAAAATTTAGCAATAGTAGCTTTTATTAGAATATCATACAAAAAATCAAAATACCTCGAGTAAGTTAAAATATTGGTTAATATCTATAAAATGACAAAATAATCAATAATATGCTACATGGACCATACTACATTCACATCATATCAAAATTTAATACCCCGTATCAAATTTTAGATCCCATTCGCCATTATCTTCCCTTACCTTGGGTAGGGTATTCAATGTATCTCTTTTATACTAATAACACTATTATGCTCCTGGGCTTTATTGCTCGCAATGACCTTGGAGGCTTCATGGCGGCAAAGAATATGACCATTAGATGTAATTGTGGTCCAAGGGAAGCGGAGGCATTGTCGGTAAAAGAAGCTCTTAGTTGGATTAAATCGAGAGGATGGGCGCACGTGGAGGTTGAAACAGATTGTAAAGACGTTGCAGATTGGCTCAATAATTCATCACAAGATTGGTTTTATTTCTCTTTAATTATTGATGATTGTAAAACCTTTGTTGTCTTATGTAGTAGGGGAGTTTTTTACTTTCAGTTTGTATATCGCTCTGCTAATGAGGCAGTGCATGTGTTGGCGCAAGCTTCTCATTCTTCTCTGAGCATGGGTGAATGGGTTCATTTACCCCCAGATTTCATCATTCCATTAATTTAATGCAATCTTTGGTTTAAAAAAACACTATTATGCTCTTTTTGGTACAGAGAGTTTAAACTATAGTATTGGAATTGAGAATAACAGTTTCGATACTATCGTTTGGTAGCACAAAAATATGTAGATTTAGAATGAATAGTGCCAAAAAATAAATTGAAATTGAAGAATTGAATTTCATCCAAATCAATGCCATTAAGTTTTAACTTCTAATTCAATTCCAATTTTATCTATTCTGTGTGACTTGTCCATGGGGATTGGTACACTTTTGTGTTGTCACATGGAAAACGGAAATACGGATCATACCATTTTTATGAGTATCAAATTTTCTTTCACTTTCGTTTTAAAAGACTAATATTTCGTTCGTATATACAAACTCAACCATACAAGTTTTATTTTATTAATAATTGTGTCAATTCCATACAAAAAAATATATTTGACACATCTCCAAAAAAAAAACTAAAATGTTCATAAAAAATGCTCCATGCACACGTAATTGGCCTAAAAATGGGTTGCTGTTCCTAGAATGTACGTAAAAAGTTTTAAAATAAATATACATTCTCATAATTGGCCAAAAAAGAACGCAGATTCACATTATTGCCCCGAAAGGACTACTATAATAATATGTGTAACCTTTTTTAAGGCAAATGATGACGACGTGCATTTTTTGAACTGTAGCATGACCCTTTTGTTGAAATCCATTTTGCGCGTTCAGTTTACAAAATCATTTCATCTAATTACAAATATTATCTACAAGTCTACAACAAGCTCAACAACAAACCGAGAAACCAACTACATGAGTTGTAACAAAAAAAGGCGGGGTGGCGTGGGGTACATAAATTTAAAACTGGACAAAATGGATCGATCGTGTTGCTGCCACGGGTAACACCAAGATTGACATCGTCATTGTTTCACAAACAAAGATTTCTCAGAGACATGGATCATGCTGGGAACCCACCACGGATGACAATCATACCACGGACGATCGTCTGTGTAGGTATGTAGAAATCATCTGTGAGTTGTGGCGGTGCATCCATGAGGTTAAAGTAACATTGTCCAAACAAAAATCTTACCTTGAAGGCCGAATCTCAATGGAAGGCTGCTGTTGCTGCAAGTCATCATCAATTACCCTCATAGGCTTCCAATTAGATTCCTCCCGGGGCTGCCTCAAAGCTACAAAGTGAAGAGCATCACTGTGCACCTGGTACACATGACACGCCCACGGATACGAATCGGGTGCCGACCAAATCTTTTGTTCCTCAAACACGGTCTCCTCCACAAGCGACTCCGCGATGCAATACACGGCATCCGGTTCGGGTTCGGCAAAACCCGGCACGGCTACGCAACCAGGCGAAACATACCCATCGGGAGCCCGGGGATGCCAGATCGACACATCAGCAGTGTAGTCATCGGAGCAGTTCCTCCAAACCAGGTCGAACCCCATTGGGAGTATGAAGTCCTTGTCAGTATATCGATATACAGATGCCACATTGGGAGGGTGTGGCCCAGTACGGGTTATATCCCCGATTGAGACGTAGCCACGTGGACAAATTGGGCGCCAAATAGTACAAAGCCCGGCTTCTTCCGTATCCCGCTTTTGGCACAATGTACACCGACCTTTAACCTCTGGTTCACTGCTCCAAACCTGTTTGGAATCCGGAGAATACCAGGGAACGATATTACATTTGAGAATATAACAGGGAAATTTGGAAGGAAATAAAATGTGGTGAAAATAAAAGATAAGGTGAAAATTAATGCTAATAGTAATAATAATAATAGTAATAATTATACTAATAATAGTAATAATAGTAATAATAATAATAATAATAATAATAATAATAATAATAATAATAATAATAATAATAATAATAAAAAAAAAAAAAAAAAAATAGCATGAGTATGATTTGAAGCAGCTACCCCAAGCACAGTTTTTAATTTCTGGTAGATCCTTCATCAAAACAAAAAACACAAGTAGGGTCTTAGGAGGTGTGAGTATGCAAACGGTATCCCTACTCAAATAGTCAAATGTATGCAGATCCTTCATAAAAAAATACGAGTAAATGCTAGGTTTGTTTTAGGGATGGATCATGGATGATTGTTGTGTTTTGGGCCAACATGATAAGGAAACCTTTGATAATCTTTTCTTCACTGGTTCATATGCCCGTGATATACGGAGGGGGGGTCCTAGTAGGTCTTAAAGATACTACCTATCCCAGAGATATGCAGCAATGGGCAATGGCATTACTTTCTGAGAAGGATCAAGCAGCAGCTGCGCAGAGAATTATGCATTTGCTTCACCGCCACTCTTTACTATAAAACTTGATTCGACAGAAATAGCATGACTTAATATATTGTAAAGAGTGATGTTGGTAGATCTAGTAAGTTCACTATTGATACTATGATGCAAAGGTTCATAATTATTTCTTCTAGCAGTAGCAGGAAGAGAGTAGAAAAAGAGTTCATAATTAAACTTGCCTTATGATGCAAGTTTTCCCCTTTTGTTGGGTGTTTAATTATTGAGAAAAAAGTTCAAAATATAATATAACTAATAATAACATTATATTGGTTGACGCTTTTGTACAAAAAAATATTAGTTGATTGTTTTATATACTTATGGAGTATAATACGTAGGATAAAAAGACTAAGAAATGTAAATACATTTAAAAATAAAACTAAAACGAATTAACCATATCCCGTTTTTGTTTTCATCTCTCGAAGGCAAAGCCAAAATTAAGAAATTGTCCATGTAACCACCCCTCCTAAATGTGGACATGAGCCGAGCCGTGCTTGGGCAGGTATGTGCAGCAGGACTTTACACCAACAATCACCAAAGGTTGATAAGCCCAAAGTTTAGAAACATAGATACAAAAATTCAAAATGAATAGACTATATAAAAAGGAGAACACTTTGCATATTACTTCATCCTTCCGTTAATTTTCTTCACATTTGACTTTTCTAGATCAAAGTTTGTAAACTTTGGCTCCAAGATGCACAACAAATACATTGCGTTATGATATAAATTTAATATCAATATATTCATTTTGAAATATCATATTCTTATAAAACATAATCTATGTATAGTGGACAAAGTGTTATAGTGGAGACAGTGAAATATCAAATAGGAAGAAAACATCCTATTTGAGAAGTATGATTTTAGAAGGCTTAGCGTGGAAATGAGCTAGAGGAATTTATTAGGCCTCATAACTTATTCACACATTCACATGTATATATCAAAACATACCTTTGAGAAGTTGATAACTCGTAGAATGAACTTGTTTTCATTAATAGATGAAGAAGAAGACGGTCCTCCAGTAGTACCATTACTAGTACCCTCAGAATCGTCCCAAGCAAAGCAAACACGCCTTTGGCTAGACAAAACCTTTAATCCAAGGTTGTGCATGTCAAAATGGTGTGCTTTCCACCACTTACGTACTACCAAACAGATCTTAACAGCTTGAGGTTCCTCCTCAAGGCCTTCTTCATTTGTATTGCACTTTACAACCCGAACAAACTTTTCTGGTCTTTGGAAATGCTTAAGATGAATGATGAGATGAGAAGGTTTAGGATACCCGGCTTTTGCCAACTCTAAGGAAAGAACTTCTTCCCACGGTACATCCCACATGATCTTGCAAGGTTTCTTATCCATCTTGTCAGGTGACACACACTGCAACAACATCACACGCTTATTTGTGACTAAAACAATACGCTGATAGGGGACAGTAAAATGATCTTCATAATAATCCGACCAAGCAAACTTTGACGGCTCTTTAAATAGCTCAGTACATCCAAAACCACGCCTTTCTTCAGCAAGATAAAGCATCATCTGACCAAGGGCTTCCCGTTCGCAATAATCTCTGAGTAGATTGTCCGAATGAATAGCCCGCGGATATCTTATCCTATGGAAGTTGCTGGTTTTGTTACTAAGAATCTCAATGCACCGGGTACAGCTGGCTCCGATTCCATCAACGGTCAATGAGAAGAAATCGAGGGCCCCACTCATGGGTTGTGCAATAAAACCTACAAATGCCCGACCCAATCCATGGGCAAGTCCAAGAAGACCGTTCTGTCTAGCACTCTCAACTGGCTTCGTCACAACCCCTGAAACCCCAAAAGCCACACCTTGTGCAAGAGCTTCTGTTCCTTGAAGGAATCCCTCCCCTACCCCAGTTATTCTTCTTGAACGAACCTGCTTTGACCGCAAATGTAGAAACTGCCCATCTGTTGACAGTTCCGCAAAGCCTTTGCTAAGAGAGGCTAAAGTTGAGCTCGCCATACCAAGAACATCTACTGAAAAAATTAAGTGAAGAGGGTTGTGGATAAGATCTCTCCAGAAGCGATTACCAATGGAAGAAACTATTGCACTTTTCCTCATAAACCTATCTCTGCGCACAACTGGCCTCAAATGCACTTGAATTTTGAATGCATTCCCAATGGCAGATAGTATAGGGCTCCAAACACCTAAAACTCCATGTGGCCTTTGGGCTGGTGAGGGCTCTAATGACAATTTTAACCGTACTTCGGATATGTCAATGAGGTCCACACGTATTTCGGGGTCAACTTGACCGATATTTGAACTCTTTGGGAGACGGTCCAGTTGAAGATTGTTATAAAATTCCACAAAAGCCCATATTATGGGCTCGTGAATGTTAAGCCTCCAGCACTTATCAGTTACCCGTATATAAATATATGGATACACTTGAATTCCGTCAACATTCTCATTCCGCATAGTAACTGTCATTTTAAACACTGGATGTTGCAGATCAAATGTTTGTTCAGGTACCAACAACACAGGCATTGAAGTGAGAGGGAGTTGATTATCAAATTGTAAGTAACCGACTATGAGCTTGAACCTGCTTGTGGATCCACCATCATACCCAGTGGAATAAGATATGGAGACTTTTTCCAGGTATATATATGATAGTTCTTTGGGATTATGATTCACAACAGAAACCCCTATAGCACCTAACTCAATAGTAAGTTCCAAAGGAGACCCAAGCTCCTGGGTCTGGTTCTGAATCTCAGAGCTGCTTCCCAAATTTTTAGATTCTGTCAAAGATAAGCTCCCTTCATTTGGGACCAACATGTACATCTTTTCATCTACAAACCTTGCAACCCTGATATCATCCAGATCTGCAACATGGAAAAGCAAGCCATACTCATCACATTTAGAGCAAAACCCTGATCTGTCCAGGTCAAGCTTCAAGACTGTACTGCTATTTCCAATACGAATCTCAGAATCAATAGCCTTGAGACCATATGGATCCTCCCATGAGAAATTGGTAGTCGAAAGAGGTAACAATTGGATCCACATGTCATCGCCAAATCCAGACTGCCGAACTCTTATTTCTGCTCTACTTGTTCTGTTTTCAATTCTATCGAAGAAAATAGATCTGATTAGGTCTAAACAAGATTTGACTATATCAAGGAATGTAATGAATAATATCAAATTTAGGTATACAGATACCTACCTAATAGGACCATTTGTGGATCCAAGTCGAAAGACAACAATGAAGCGGGAACCTTCCTCAAATCCACGAATTTCAATCCTCACAAACTTTCGTGTGCCATCAGCTGTCCTCAAAACCAGGGAGAATGTATCCTCCTTCACAATTTGAATGGGAAAAGACCAATTTGTATCAACCAGTCGAACCTGCAGATCGTCATCAGAACTACATATGAGCTGAAAAGAAATGAAGCAATCTGGATAGCTACACAAGCACACTGAAGGGAAAATGACTATATAACATTGTGTAGTCTAGGAAGCTGTTTGTATACAAAAGTTCCCTGATTTGAACCAGTTATCCATTCTCACTAATATTCCTTTTTTGTTCTACAATGAACACCTCTTACCCATTTCATGTTGGAGAGAAGTGGACCAGGGGGGGGGGATTGGAATAGAGGCCATTCTCACCTGCAATATATTTGACACACTTGTTTGCAATTCATCTGAGCTACTTGTTTCATTAACCACAAATGGCACCCGAGCATCTGATGCGTGCAAAATCTTTGGCTCATCTTGGCTGCTTAACTTAATAAATAAACTTTGGCCAACCCTGTTTGTGAACGTGATGAATGGCCGGAAAGAAATAACCTGCAACGCAAAGTTTCAAAGTCTAAGGCATCAAGTGTGTGTAGACACACACACACACCCAGATACATGGGGAGTGCAGAGAGGGAATTCACTCGAGCATAGGACAAAGAAAGAACCTTTGTTGAAACAGATTGATAAGGGCAAGGTTTTGAAGACACATAGATTTGCATGCATTTTCCATCAGCATCATAAGCATGAAGATCAAGTGACCCATCCTTGTAAATACCAAAATTGGAGGATCAGTAGTAAACTAATAACAAAAAACTATCAACTACGGGAACTTAAAAATGATGATTAATTACCATTTCACTTAGGGGAGAAAGACTAGAAACACACCCAAAATGCTCCTTTCCAGAATGGCCAATTGATGCCATAATACCAAGTTTTTTGAAGTTCAAAGCAGATGCAATTGTGTAACCATCATATATTTCCTCATCAGTGATTTCTTCAAGGATACCGTTGCTATTACTTTTTGAATGAAAAGGGAAAGACACCTTCCTGGATTTCTTCACTTCCAAGTCCAGAAATCTCAGTGTAAGGGGTGGACATCTTCGTATTGCTAGCCAGTAAGGAGAAGAAACCTTAATGGACTTGGCTTGTAAAGGCCTTTCATCCACGTGGCCTTGTTCAAGGATGATTTGAACAATCCTGCAGAAGAAAATATGTAAGATACTATGAAGAAGTAGAGCAAATCTGGAAATATAGAGAGCAAACAAGCCAAACCTTCCAGTAATTGAACTTCTCAAACTTATCATCTTTGATGGCACTTTACTAGGGTGGGATATGAGAACAGCCTCCTACACAAAGAATATATAACAAAAAACTGAAGTTAGGGTCTATTATGCAAAGACAGTGAAAGCTCTCTCTCTCACACACACACACACAAAGTCAAGGTTCCTTGGACTCCTCCACGGTGGCTACCCGCTGACTCGTTAATTGCCAATGTGTATTGGATTAGAGCTCCAGCGAGGACATGGTTTGACTCATCTCATCTACAACTTTCATGTTTGTACCTAGTCTACATTCCGTAGTTTAGATAGAGAAAAAGTAGTTGAACAAACAAATGTAAAACTATTCATATATATTACTCCGTATTATATATGACAGGTAAAATTCACACCAACAAAAATGACACCAATTCGTGACACCATTCAACTGAAGCACCTGCAGTGCTCTGTTCGTAACATTGACGATTCTTACCCCCCACCCCCCAGCAATTTCACCCCATTTCACCCCACCAGGGTGTGGGGGGGGGTTAAGGTGTGGGATAGGTGTCCCAATTGAACTGGTGTCACCATGTTACACCACTACGAGCGGTGTAAAACATTACAAGCTCTCATTATATATATATATATATATATATATATATATATATATATATATATGTTTTCATTTTTTAAACAAACTTTGACCTATCTGTTGCATATCTAAAGTACAAAATTTTGACTTAGATTGAGATGAGCTGAATCATGTACACGGTTACACACACAAAGTACAGAACAGAATTTTGACTTAAAATGAGATGAGGCCACACAGCGCACGCACACCACACACACACACAAAGAATATATAACAAAAAATGTGTGTGTGTGAGAGAGAGAGAGGTGGGGGGAAGGAAAGCTATAAAAGACCAGAAACTAACATGTACTGGCAACCATCCTCTTTGTGGAAGCAATGACAAGTACACAGGGTTTCTTATGTCAGCATTATAAACCTTGACACACTTGCCGGGACCAAGCACTCCTTCAGAACAGGTAAGGAAATGACCGCTTTTCTGTGTCTCATGGACAGAATAGTCTGCAACAAATGGAAGATAATTGCTAATTGAGAGTGGAGCCTGGATCACAAGGGTCCAATCTTGGATAGGATCAGAATTAATATCCCTAGCAATCTCTGTGGCTTGTATGCTCAAGCAAAACCACCTGCTGCATGAATTGCTTGATATTTCACTAATCAATGAGCAGCACAAAAGTTCTTCAGATACTTTGAGAGTAGACACACATATCCCTGAGTTCTCTGGTTGCATACTAAAATCATGCGAGTTATGTGACCCATCAATAACAGAACTCCACGAGCATTCTTCTTCTAAGTCAGGTCTTAATTGCAGTACATAGCGTCCAGACTGAGCAAGTGCTGAGAGAGGAAGAGGAATAACTTCGCCAGGCCTTAGAGGCCCAACACAAATATGTGGTTTAGGATCTCCTGATACACATGTTCTATCACGAAACCACCTCCTTTGTCTTGCATAGTTCACAAACTTAACTGGGTTACAAGATTCTGGCCATTTCAGACTTTCAACGTCTGGAGCATAAACCCATCCATCTGCTGTGTTAACAGCACTCTCATCAACATGCCAGGCATCAACCCATTCCCACCCTGAGGGCAACCCAACTCCAGAAGCCATCTGTAGCGGTATGAACCAAAACATCATAAGAAGACATTATAGGAAAGCTAACATGGTTAAGTAATTTCCAATAAGATATAAAAAGAGGGACTCAGTAGCTCTATTTTCCACAAACACGGGCTCAACAAAGGTAATGGATAGAAGACTTGTAACCCTGATGCTGTGAGCTCCATATATTGATAATAATACAAAGACTTGTCAATGAAATACCAAACTATAACTAAGTTTGTTTCAGAAATCTTCCCAAGCTCATACATCATAAGCTAACAGGTTCACTAAGAAGTTCATGAAGCAGCATTTACTGTCAACTCTTAATATTTAATTTATGCAAAGAAAATAGATGAGAACCATAGGCATTTAGGCCTATGTTTAAAAATGAATGACTATTTTAAATAAAAAAAATAAACTTCCCTTGCTACTTACTTTCTATGAATTGTTGGGAAGTGAATGCAGCAATGCATCAAGGGTCTAACAGAAATAGAGGTAAGATAGTGCATAACCACCCAGACCCCAATGGAGTTGTGATTATACTAGGTTGTGTGTGTGTGTGTGTGTGTGTGTGTGTGTGTGTGTATAAAATTACATGATGAAATCTTTATATTGTTTAAAACACATATAAGCTTAAAATACAGTAAATAGATTGAGAGTCAGAAAGCAACTTACTTCTTTGAAGTCTGGTCCAACCCAGCCAGCAGTAGGGTCATATATCTGAGTTTCGAACAACTCACAAGTAACATATTTGATGTTGCTCTCGTTTTCATCTTTCTTTTTATTATCAGGCAGCATTGTTTCATCAGAAATTCTATGTTTTAACCGCAGATGCATTGTAAATTCTGTATCATTACGAACTGAAACCAATGATCTAATATTCACATATCTATTTCCTTCCACTATGCTTACTTCACTGGCAACAACATTGTTTCCTAGCCGCCAACAAGCAGCAGGTGCAGCATAGTTGAGCCTCACTGTAGTCCATGGTCCTTCCCTTGTGGGACTAATCTGAATAAAGCCCACATTTTTCTCCTTGTCAGATGATCCCTTGCTGATCTCTAAATCAATTTGAGGGGACAAGTAAAAGGCACATTTTAATCTTCCGGCTGATTTCATTACGCTTCCTTCACCAGAATGAATCTGTGTAAACATGATACAGTGTAAAGAGAGACTTACACAATAGACAGCAATATAACACTTCCCACTCAAGTTAAAATAAAATATGAAAGAAAAGGTCTATAAGAGTCACCACAGGGGAGTTAGAAAACAACTCTATCCAATGAAGCCCATCTGAAGTGTCATGAGATCCATATATGTGTTTCAGCGCAACACAAGAAGAGCCAACAACATCACCTGAAAGGATATTTGACTATAATTAAGGCAAAATTTTAGTTCCATATTAGAAAACAAACCGTGTGAAGATGCATATACATCAAAACATATGTCGACATTTGGGGATACGTCCTCTCAGGTGTCAATCAAAATGACTTCAGAAAAATAACTCATTCTCTAGAAGTAATTTTCCGGAAGGCATTTTTGTGGTTTCAAATGGACCCTAAAAGTAGTTGAAAGATCCTCAAAATCTAATCCATTTACAGATACTATGCAAAACAAAAAAACTATAGATATGATTGCACAGGTCCTGATCAACATCATCATAATTTCTAATTCAACTTTTGCTAAACAGATAATATTAAAAAATAAATACGGAGTACCATTTAACTACAAAAAACTATAGTACCTTTCCCAATATCTGTTACAATCAGCTCTAAATTGTAGAAATCCTGCACAAAACAGAAACCCAGACTTGATAATGGCATTGAAGAAAGGAACAAGTCACGTTAAACAACGATAAATAATGTAGCAACTATTCATAAATAATATAAAAAATGAAAGGATTTGTATTGATGGATCAGAGAATTTCATAAATCCATCTTTACCATTACAGGAATACAGAGGGATTTGTGCAATGCTCATGATCCTAGAAAGTTAATCATCTTCTTTACATGTTCATTTCAGTTCACACTTCAGATGTTACTTTGTTCATCATCTTTTGTCAGATTCACGAAGACTTGGATAGGTTTCAAGTAAAAGCTTTTGTTTTTCAAGTACCAATCTTCACAATTTTGTAAGGCTGCGTTCCGCACGCCTAATCTGATCTGGTCTCATTTTTTGAAGATCTTGTCTGATCTGATTGTAGTTATATTTAAAACTACTTGTGATTTGGTATGGTCTTATTTTAATAATATTAAGTAATAAACTGAAAAAAGAAGTTGAAACCCTAAGCTTCAATGCCCCTCAAAACTTCCTATATTATTAGTTGATAAGTTTAGGTGGTTTCATCCTACTAGCCACATCGCTCTCTTCATCCCCACCCCCACCCCTTCCTCATTCAACCAGCAACGCACACAATATTTGGCACCGAGTAAAGGGATATACTTGTTTCTCATGCTGAAATCTATCCATAAATAAAAATTCCCACACACTTCCACTATCATTTGGCTTTATCCTAAACTTGCATGCTTTGTGGTGAAAATAGATAATTTAACTAAATACTATAGATCGAGTTAATAAACAAAGCATGTAATAATATTACTTATCCATGTAAAATGCAAATCAGTACAATACAATGGTTCCTGTACTTGTATGTGTAGTTTTACAGAGAGGAATAGTTCGTACTTAGTAGATAAGCATATACTGACCAGTGAATCAATTTTGAAGAAAAACACTTCATTCCATTCCAATGAAAGGATAGCAGAAGAGACACTAGTACTGATTCCCCGAGTGCGAGCACTTTGTTGGGGTAAAACAGGTAGATCATGCGAGTTGAAGACACGGACAGCTACAGAAAACAGATGAGATGATAATCCTGCAACCTCCTTGAGCTGCATTTCCAAGTAATAGAAGTATATGTCATATGAGCATGAACATGCAATCTTTGGTAGAGAAAATTCCACAAGAATCCAAAAGCAAATTTTCCAAATTGATTTGGCGACTTTTCCACATGGAATACTGTATTATGAACTATTTTGCATTGCATTCTAAATTTACCACACGCAACTTCGCATGTCCTTCAAATCACTTATATTATAAGTTGATGAGCATGTTTACCTTTTACACTTTGAGGAGGCTAGGCACTCTGCCCCCCTTCACCATGCTTATACATTTTAAATCCCAATAATAGATAATGGTAACTCTATTTGTTGAGAGCCCTGAGATTTTTCTTATATGGATCACAAAAAACAGAGTTCTGGGAGAAAATAAAACTAATCCTGTCCTTAAAAAAGTCAAGGTTGATCAATGTAAAACCTTTAATCTTTGATACAGTACCACTATCAAATCATGACCTACGTATATTTATTGGTACCAATCATGATTTGCAAGTATGAATGCCTACATCAAATCTAAAGAATATCAAAATTTGTTCAAGGTCAATTTCTGAAGGAATATATTCAAGAATACTTGCAGCTTCCAGACTGGATATACTGCGATAAATTAGGTAGAAAAATATCAGTATGTGCAAGACATGAATATGTAATATCTGATTTCCAACAAGTATATATTTTAGTTTTCTATTACAAACTGAAGAGCAATAAATAAATAACCAATGCAGACATATAATACTTGGTTTAAAGCAGATCATAGAGATTTTAGCGTGTATATAGGGATTATAATTCATAGTTTGAAGATCACGGAACTCAGAACATGTAAACATATATTAGGAACAACAAAATAAAAAAGAATCAATGGCGAAATAAACCTCTGCCTCTGATAAGATGACTGTCAGCATTTTTCTGCATTTTTTGAAATGACTTCCTTTCATGTGTGAGTCCAACATGTTCTTTGTAACTGGTACTCTAACAGGTTTGCTATCTCCAGATGGCATCTTAATTACTTTAGTGGGAAACGCAATTCCAGTGGTTCTCATGAAAATGTCCTGACCAAGCTTATTTTGTGGGATGATAAAATAATTTTTTTTGTGATGAATGTCGATGATAGGTTTGCCTCCATCAGTGGTAAACACGGTTTCCTGCTGAACAAGGGGAAATATACAGATCATTTGACACACTGAGGGTAGTGCAATCCACACAACAGCAAATGTATAGATCTAAAAAATAGCCCAGTGCACAAACCAACCCCGCACACGGGTCCAGGGAAGGGTCCCACCACAAGGGTGCAACGTTGTCAAACATTAGGTCATATATGTGATCTCTGGATCATGAACTCAACCGATGCCACAAGTTCAACAAAGTAGAACAAATTACCTCATAAGTTTTTTTAATATGGCCAAGATTGTCCCAGCTGGCATAAGCTTGAAAAATGGTATTGACATTGGACACAGAAACATTCAGATTCAGATCCCTCGTGGATGTGAGGCGTAGCTGAGAAGCAGCACCAGGAGCATTGACATCATACCGGTACCTATATATGTATCACAGGCTTGAATGGAGCATAGGAGCATGTATTTTAACTAGTCAAATCATATATGAGCTCCATGTATGGCACATGCATACATCGTGGTACCCAGGAAGCACTAAGTGTGGAACAGAGAAAAATACAGTCCAACTTGCAAGTCTACCCACCCTCCCACCAACACACCAGTGACACCACCACTCCTACCCCAAAATGTGCAAGATTTAGTGGCATGGGCACCAAGATCTAGAATTCTAGATGTAGGCAACTGATGATTAACTAGTAGGTCATCTAATAATAGTGATAAAGCCCACTGTTGGTTAACTAGCAGGTCTTAGAAAACATTAATTCAATACTACTTTCAATTCTCAGATCTTCAAAATAAACATTAAAAAAAATCAATCAATTAGAGTTATACAGTTCTTATTGATACTCCCCCACTGATTGGAAAATGTACATGCAAGATCTTTTTTAAGATAGGTCATTTTCAGGGTAAGGACATGTGTCCATGGAAAGTATACCACTATACCAGCATGAGTACACTTGAAAACTATACAAAGCATAACCAGCTGTAAATCAAACAGCTAATAAAATACAAGAGCTGGAAAGTGATGTGCCCCCCCCCCCCACACATCTCCCACACTCTACTCCTTCCCCGCTCATTTCATTTTTTGAGTAAGTGCCTACTGCCCTTCTCCGGGGCTTAAAAATGAGCATGCACTACAGCAAACATGAAAATTCAACGGAAGTAAGAAATGAGGTTTTAAGAGTAACTAAATATTAGATTATGCATCAAATATCAACCTTTCAACTTCTCATCAACTAAAAACTCTGCAAACATGAAAAAGTTGCTCAATAAGAGGTTCCCAGGAATCATATTTGTCACACAAATCTAACCTAAAGTCACAAAAACAATTACCTCAATAATGTGTCAAGTTGCTCAATAAGAGGTTCCCAGGAATCATATTTGTCATTGTAAGATCTACCAGCCAAGGAGAAGGTAACATTGGCATTGAAATTGTCAGACCGTCCATGGAAGCTAAAACATATTTCACTTAAAGATACATTGCATAATGGAACCATCTGCAGGCAGAAAGTTGGTTACATTGACGGATAATCTTTTTTCAACGTGGATATTAAAATTGTATAAATGAACATTTTTTTAAAAAACTGAAGGAATATGGAGTTGTTTTTAATAATGAATTGATGAGTGCATTGGACTTTTGATAAAAACATATAAATCTTAAATCTCCAAAAATGAAATGAAAATGAATTTTCATCCAGCACGAAGTGACAAACTGTTCAGAAATAGGAATGGTTAAATATAGAACAGTGGTAGTCTTGGTACTAAAACAAAACCTCAACGATAGAAATGAATACAGTGAGTCAGTGATCGACTAACTTGTGGGGGATCACTTCTCACTGGTTACTCATCAATGCGGAAGTTCTACATATAAAAATGTATTCACAGCTCTTTCATTAAATTGAAAGAGAGATATCTCAAAATTAACTTGAACTGTAAACGATAGGCAAATAGTTTACCAATTCTTTATTTATGGGATTGTTTTAATGTATTTCATTTGTTGTAGGTAGTGGTAAGGTCTGAATACGACTACTCTCCCCAGACCCCACTCGTGAGACTAATTGATTGAAGTTATAGGAAAGACATTTGTTAAGTTCCAGGCCACTGTGNGTCAGAATTTGAAAATACTTTGCCAATGAAAATAGCAATTTCTTGGATCTGAAAACAAACTAAACACAATACTAACAACAAACCCAGTATAATCCTAAATCTGTTAGGGGCTGGAGGGTCATGATGTACGCAAACTTACCCCTGGTTGCGTACATCTTGCCTCCCCAGGCCCGAGCAGAGTTGGAATTATACTGAGTTTGTCATTGTTGTGTTTGGTTTGTTTTCAGATCCAAGAAATTGCAAATGAAGTTCAATTTTACTCTTGCTATTTTGAAATTAAACGTGTCAGCTAAGGAAGGCATGAGAACTCCCAAATCATTACAAAATAAACATAACTCCTATATGATGATGAGAAAAGGTAGTTACCAAGCCGCCATAATCATCAAAAAGAGCAACAGAGAATGTTCTAATGTCTGCATCAATCAACATGACATCTGAATCACTAGGAACATCATGATCAGCAAGCTTCAAAGCAAACCTCTTTGGAGGCTTTTTATAATCACTTCGGACAACAAATGTCCCCAGATTATTCCCACTAACCCATACGCTTAAAGGGTGTTTTATGAACTTGATCTCGGATGTATCCCACACACTTTCATCCAAAAACTGGGTCCCGGTGACCATATCACTGCGAATGCATCTCAGGGAGAAAAAATCAGATGCCTTGGGTGTTCCCTTACAAGCTATACAGCCTAATGAAACAAACCCTGAAGGTGGTTGAGGCATCCAAAAAGATATATTGTCTGTTGCTCTATGTTTCTTTATTTGTCCAGTGTGTTGAAAATCAAAAGGAGCTTTGAAAAGTTCTTCAGAATCATGAAGTACAATGCACATATTGGGAGGTTCATACCTGAAACCAAGTTCAAGGTTCAAGTCATACCCCTATTAAAAATCATTTTGAAAAGAAAAGAAAAGAAGGTAAAAGCAAATATCTTACCCTTTGACTGCAATATCACCAAAATATATCATCCCTTCTGGTACAATAGGACGCCATATGGATAATCTCTTTCTTGATCCTGAACCCTGATTCCACCAGATTAACTTAAACGTTGCGACAGCTTCAAACCTCCTCCCAGAGCTTACAGTGTTCATTTGTTCTGGCTGGGGAGCATTACGGTGTTTAGAAGGAGCACCAATTTCTGAACCCTTTGATAATTTGGAAGAATCTTTCTGCAATCCAAAAACTACATGTCGCAGTCCATAAGCCCTACCAGACAAACTCAAGGTGGCTGGATCTGCTGGGAGGAAGGTACCAACAGAATTATCAACACGCCAAAATGCCAAACTAGTAGATCTGCCAATTGAGAAAATTTTAAGTGCTATTCAACCCAGTTACCTAGATGGATAGATGAAAAAAAGGTTAAATACAGTAACTATTTATACCTATTGTTATGACCAACATTAATGCAATCTCTCAAATCACATGGAGAGACTAAACATTCTGAAATACAGAAAACTGAAGTTGGCAACGGTTGAATATTTCCAGGAGAAGCCACACATCCCATCGCAACATAGCCTTTAGGTGCGCGAGGGAACCAAATGGAACAAACACCACCCTCCTCAGAATAATTGCCACTGAGACAGAGTTCACTATCAACCTGGGACTGGGAAGAGGAACAAACTAGGGTAAACGACTCGGGTCTCTTCACCCTTACAAATCTAGAATTGAGTGCAATTACTCCTTTTGTCGGAGGTTTATCACTGCAAAACAAAATTTATCAGCAGGAAGGCACAACTGTATGGAAATGCACAAAGTGAGAAGTCTACTAACATTGGTGTGAGATAGTCACCAAGGATTGCATAACCAGGAGGTGCACGAGGTCTCCAGAACACATATACCTGTTCACCACCTTTGTGAAACAAAATTGTAGACATAAGTTGCTGTATCATTTCTTTCATGCTTTAATAAATAAATTAACCTACATTTAATACTTCCAATCTTGTCAAACTCAGAGCACACAATTGTGACTTTTTTTGATGTTGTCCTCATGAATGCCAAAACATCCTCCTCAACAGCCAAAAATAGTCTCAAAATACTGAATGAGAAATTCATAAATATATCTGAGACAGAAAAGTGCATATTCGTCTTTCCAGAGGCATTTGAGTACTTCATGGAGGTATCAAAAGGTTCAACTATTCTGATTCCATTGCTCTCCATTGTTAATCCAAGGAAATTTGCATCTATTTCAGTGGTGTCTCCCTTTATAACAATCCTAGAAACATCAAATGGAAGTTGTCAAAAGGAACGAATCTTAGTTTATCAATACCTCACCAAGTAAAACTGGCAATGAGCCACTGACACATAATAACTAGAAATAAGCATGTAATATATCATAGAGACATAAACCGCATAGAACAACTTTACAATACCAGCTGTTGTTTACTAGTATTCCTAAACTGACAGTTGAACAGGCCCCTAAACTCAAACTAGGAATTTAAGTGCTAGGAATTTTTGTAAATTAATAACTTCCTCAAATATTTAGGGATCCTGAACACTAAGAAATTTTAAATTTCCTATCATGTAGCTCCTAATTTATACAAATAACAATTTCTTGGGGCCTAGCCTTCTTTCTTTTCTGTAAATCGTGAGCAGTGATCAGTGCGGGCATTGTTCACTTGCTGTTTTTCAAATTAAACACTCTAGGTTGTCCCTAGCAACAAATTAAGGGGGTTCATAACATCTCTACGAGTACCGGAAACCTAGCTCATACAATCTCCCAAACACACACTTACATGAGGCGTGTAAAATGTGCAAGGCTGATCTTATGGAATGAAGCACCAAATATTGCAGAGTATTTCATTATTATTTAATTTTTTGTTTAAATAATTAATACTCCCTCCCTCTTAGAGTATTTGTCCAATTTTGACTTTTTGCAGTCAATTGAGTCGACGTTTGACCTATAATTAAATACAGAGTAAAAGTTACATGGTATAAGAATTAGATAAAACTATATTTTGAAAGTATTTTACAAGAAAAATCTAATAAAAATTTTCTTGTATCCATATATAATACTACCTCCGTCCATGTGTATTTGACCACTTTTGACTTTTTGGGTCAAAATTGCAAAACTTTGAGCACAAGTTAAATAAAATTGATATGAGATATTGATAAATAATTTTATTTAATTTATTTTATAAAATAATTTCAAAATATTACTTTATCTAATTCATGCATCATATATATTTTATTTAATTATAGGTCAAAGGTTGAAAATGGTTGACTGCAAAAATCAAAACTAGACAAAATACTAAGGAAAAAAGGTGGTATAAATTTTATTTAATTAATGGTCAAAGTTTATCAATTTTTCCTACAAAAAGTCAAAAGTGAATAAATACTCTAGGACGGAGGTGGTAATGTTTTCCAATTCTATTTATTTATTATTTGAAGAAGTCAAATACTTACTAGCTGGAAAACTGGCATATCCCGTGTTCCGATAATGGGTAGCTAGAGTGAGACAGTTTTATTCAAATAGCAGCAGAAAATACCAAAAAGAAGCTCGGTAAAATTTGTATAAATAGACCTCTGGCCATACGAAGTGAAGCATCATATATTGCAGACTATATTATAGCGAGAGTTTACTAATTCTTACTCCGTATTTCCTAAGTTCTGTTACCTTACTCTGGTTGTATCATTTTTGGTAGCAGAACCATGGCCAACATGTATTCATCTCACAGGAACCTAGAATGAAGACAACACAAGGCGGAGGAGGGACCATTGGTCAACATGTATTCATCACACTTGGAATTGCTTGATTTTTTTGAGCAAAAGGGTCACTGTGTTAAAGGTTTGTTACAGCAGGTCAAAGGCACTTCGAAACTCCTACTTGGATAAAGTGATAACAACTTAGAAGCTTATTACAAAAACTGAAGGATCCAGTACTCAAAAGGTAAACATTCATAAATTCAATGGAGGATATTCTTGTGGATGGATACTGAAGGTGGAGAAGTGCTTATGTTACTGCAACTCTGGCAGACAATAAATTAGGCAATCCATCAATGTATTTAGATTTGTTCTCTGGGATTATGGGGTAAGGAACAATGGTGTATTGATCTCATCAAGTAGATGCAAGAGCAATACAGACCTCCAGAGTTTCAAAATCCCAATGAATACTTATACACATAAGGCAAACTAAGACAGTGCAGAAGTACCACTCGGAGTCTGCAAGACGTCAGGCATAGATAAGGAACTAGTCGGACCACAAACTACTTGGGGCTCTTCATGAACAACCTCAAAGATGAGATAAAGGTCGACACACGGATCCATAAACCTAAACCAGTTTTTAAATCCATCAGTTTCGGGATAGAATTTGAGTAGACATCCAGCAACTCTCTCAAAATCAAGCACAACACGTAGTGACAATCCAACCAAAAACTGTCCCTCATACCCAGCCTAGATCCAACATTTTACCCTGCCTGAGACCCACAATACCTGACTCCCTCCTATCGGTCAGCTTGTTGTCCTCAGACTTCAGACCATCTCTTGACCTCAAACTATCAGACTATCAATGCTGGAGAGACAAAGGTCTCACTTTCTGATGCAGGGAGACATTCCGGCAAGAAAACAGGGGCAACAATTAGCTAAGTTTGATGGAGCTTGCAGACGAGGACACAGAGACTCCACCAAAGGAGGAGCTGGCCACAACTCTCGACGTCAAACCTTCCCCATGAGCCTTGGAACTCCAGAAACGAGCATGCTCATGTTAAAGATCAGAGTTATTGCATCTATTTATAACTAGATAATTACACGAAGTCAGCAAAATTACATCACAATGGCATTATACATATTACGGAATACATCATTACGATGATGTAATAGTTTAGAATGCCTTTATGACTTACACAATTCAAAATTCCACACTAATGACTAATCAAACTGATAATCTAATAGTAGAAATAAAGGATTTCATCAATAAGCTGGAAGGACAATGAATGATCAATTTTTGAACATAATGTCTCTACAACTTAAACATTTAATACTTCAGTTCAATTCCCATGTTACATGAGAATAGCAGACAAAGGTTTTCCAAATGATGGGCACAGCAAAAAAATGAATGGCACCCGTGGATGATATGTGGCAAAACTGTAGGTGTGTGGGTGGGCTTATTCAAGTATGTACACATATATGAGATGCTAAATAGAGAAACATACCTGCAGAATGCATCTAACTGAGCATGCAAAAGTTTATTCAAAAGCTCAAGTGACTCCCCAACATCTTTTGAGGTATTGTAAAAGGTAAGTTCTGGAGCAATAGCCTGAAAAGAAAATGTGTATTCAAAAGAGATGTGAACGGCATAAATCTAATCATCAAACAATTATTTAGATGTGAACGACATAAATAATTGTCAGAACAGCATCAGAGATCAATTTTTGTTAATTTCATCAACAAAACTATGTCATCAACTCATATTTCATAAGCATAGTATTATACAAGAAAAAAAAGCAGGCCAACACAACCGTAGAACAAAGAAATTCAAGTCAAATATAGCAGATATATTTTATTCTTTGCAAACTTATCATAACCAATTAGCACACTTGTTATTATGGACTACTAACAACCGGACTTTTGAAGTATGGGACAATGAGTTTAAAGAGGAGTATCATTCACCTGCATCTCAAATATGAACTCTGTGGATTTGCTGGCCTGTGGGCTATGAGAAGTAATTCCAGAAACAGATTCACTGACATGGGTCTCAGCAGAGAATACATCATCAACTTCTTCCAGAAAAACTTTATCATCTTCTAAAACAGAATAGCTACTGTTTGGCCCAAGTAAGATGGATGAATCTAAATACCTCCCATTCTGCCAAAAGAAGTATATAAATGCACAGGAATAGTTTTCTTATAGAAATGGTGTTAAAACTTAATTTAAAGGTGTTAAAGCAGTTGCAATAATTTTGAAATGCTGATTATTTGTCACATTATTATTGCACAAATTTGATTATACTCAGATTTGATGGTTAGGGTTCTCTATTGTTTACACAGAAAGACCAAGTGAGATTAGCAAGTCATCATTCGCACACTTGCCATCATTGTTATTGGCCATTGATGGATACAAGTATGATGCAGGAAGGCATCATCAACCATCAATATTGATGGCACAGGTTGATGTGTGATTTTGCAGATGGTGCTCCACTGACTTCTCTAGGTTAAATAGAGGCCATACCTTGATTGTAACATTTGTGAATTGCAACTTCTTTCCACTACCCACGTAGATTAAAGCCTCTGGACTAGGGGAAGAAAGGTATTTTCCCAGTCTATCTTGCAAATACAGTATTCCACCTCTGCCATCATATACAAAAAGATCATATCTTTCATCATCAGCAACCAAAGGGTTGAGTGGTGACAATGATAACTCAGAACAAGGCTGGGTGTAAGTTGGTTGATCAAGAATGAGAGCATTCTTTAAATGTGAGGAACTCATGTCCCTGTCATTTGAAAGCATGCTACGAACTGTGGGAACAAAAAATTCAGTAACAGCAAGCAAAAAATCTAGGGTAACTAGCAGCTGTGGCCTCTGGATGCAGAGAGAAACTGATGTCAAACATTCAGCAAATTTGCCATCAAGAATAACCATGGTGGGGCTTGGTGCCATGTCCTCCATATCATTAGTTGTAACAACATGATTGTTATCCCCATCTCTCAAATAATTTGAAGGTTTATATCCAACGGTATCAGGTTTCCTAATTGCCATCTTGAGTTCCTCTTGTATACCATCTCGATCATCTACTACCGAAAAATCCCCAAGTGTAGCTGAAAGAAAGCCTTCTCCAGCAGTATTTGTTTTGTAAAGAAGCCACAACCCACTCACCTTAAACACAACAAAGTGTTCAATAAATTGAACGAACACATTCAGTAATGAATGTAACAAAGAAACTATGGAATGGCAATAAACATTAACTAGAAATTGTTTGGATGATCTAAGCTTAACTTGGAAATTGTTAAGATAGAAAATAACAAAATTAGTGTATGTTAAATATTTAAAGACAACAACAACGTTCCCCAAGTACCTCAAAGTCTCTAGATATTTAAAGACTATGCAACTGCAAATAGAATGGGTGGGACAGTGGAACGTCCCCATCTATTAGCTTCTTCTGTCCCACAAAAAACTTCATAGTTACTATTCACAAGCTCCAACTTAGACATACTTTGTATTTATTTGCCTATTTTTGTTACCATTTGATTAATAAAAATATCAGAGATTTTTTAGGGCAGAAAGGGTATAATTACAAACCCTTAGAGTATTACTCCCTCCGTCCAAGTTGAAACTTCTCGTTTTGACTTGGCACGGTTTTTAAGGAAAAGTGTAAAATGAGTTGATTTTCCTGTTTTACCCTTCCAATTGTCTGGTTCCCTTCAGTTGTTCTTCCGCCCTGCCCTAATCATAGCCTTTCACCTTCTTCAACCTCAACTCCTTCCTCAATCTTCTTCTTCAACCTCACCCCTCCTTCAAATTCAACCACTCCCAAGCCTCTTCTTCATATCAAACCCACCACTACCCTCTTCCAAAACTCTTGTAGAACTCTTATTGAAGAAAAATTGAAATCCAAAAAAAAAAAAATCGAACTCTTACTCAAGAATAAAAAACCAAAAAGTAAGCTTTGCCGCCATCGAATGGTCATGAAAGCTTAGTCCGAGGAGGACTATGGATGGATGCCAGATCTGATTGTTTTGTTGTTGGATCTAGTCAAACTTAGGAGTAAAATTTAAACCTTTTAACTATGAAAAGGAAAAATGCCTAAATCTAAAGCNATCTAAAGCTTCGATGACAGAGGAACGAGTGTCGAGATCTGAATCCTCCTTCCGTTGCTGTTTGCCGCTGCCCGGGCGTTGCAGCCAATGCTCCGCAAAGAAGAAGGGCGGGAGGGGATGGAGAAGAAGAGGGGGGGGGCGTACATGGGGGGTTAAGAAGAAGAAGAAGATGAAAGAAAGAAGAGAAGTGTGCGGGGGTGAGAAGAAAGAAAAAGAAAGAAAAAAAAGAATGAATGGGGATGACGTAGAGGCAAGGAAGAAAGGAGGAGGAAAGAGATAGGGAGAGAGGGAAAATAGAAAAGAAGGAAGGGTAAAATCGTAAGTTTAAGTGTTTTTTATTTCCATTTTAGGAAATGGGAAGAATCAAGTGGGACAACCCAAAAAGGAAAGTGAGAAGAAAGATATGGGACGGAGGGAGTACTTACTATCAAATGTGAGATGGACTAAAATGAAGATTACAATTTTACTTCAAGGAGTTCACGAAAAGTGGTGAAAACTGAAAGTAAAAAAAATTGTGGATGAAATTTGTTAAGAGGAGAGAGAAATGTTGTGAGCCGCATATTAAATCAGAAAGTAAGGAATTGTACACTTTATTTTGGGACATTCCAAAAAGGGAACTGTAAAGTTCATTTTGGGACGGAGTGAGCATTATATAGTCATACTTCTGCTGCAACACATTCAGTATACATGCATAGATATATAACCTTTATTACGTCAAGCCCATCACCCAACTCAAGAATAAACATGAACTAAAATCTGTGACAAAGGCAATAGATAAAAGAGGTCGGAAGGAGCTACGATTTGGATAAAAGTCATAAAACAAGATCCTGGAGATGCATATGAAACATCACTACCTGAAGTGTTGCAAGAGATGCATCCCTTGTTAAGCCATAAAAAAGGCAAAGTTCAACTAGCTCAATAGAGACAGAAACCTTGGTATTAACCCATCTGGCATCATCTTCAGTTTCACCGTTTGCAATTTCAGAGCTCTGCAGTGCTAATGGTTCCATAATTTCAGCTGAAGGTGACACAAAATCTTCTACTATAGGAGGCAAAGTATTTGGAGTTTCTGAAAAATTAGCCAGAGCACACTCAGTAATTATCTGGTACTCTGTGCTAGATAGAGCTGCTTTCAATTCTTCTATCTGAGATCACGAATTGCATACAAACACATATAAGACAACTCAGCTTCATAGACAGTAAAACAAAAATTGAAAAGCATCTAAGACAGCCTAAAAATGTATACCATATTAACAATTAGCAGTTCTCGCAGCAATTCAAAATAATACCTTTATATCAACTTCAACGCTTGGAATTTGATGGAGCAAGTCCCTTAGAGATCTTTGAATCACAATTGAAATACCATTAACATCTTGAATTATACTCTCACCAACTTCTGACCCAGCGCCAATGTTTAAATTTATATCTTGGACCTGCAAAAGGGACCTTGTAAAAGTAAGAATTTGTTTCATGAACATTTGAAGAAGGATAATAATAATAATAATAATAATAATAATAATAATAATAATAATAATAATCCCTCCATCCTACTATTTTTGTCCCCTTTTACCATTTTTGTCCATCCTACAATTTTTGTCCCATACCATATTTGGTTATGTTTGTGTGGCTCACATTTTTTCTTACTTAATCTTACTTTTTAACATCAATATCAACCACACAATCTCACTTTTCTGTATTCTCATGTCACTCCTCCATGTCCCAAAAATAGTGGGTCGGAGGGAGGAATAATTAATAATAATAATAATAATAACGATTAAAGAAAGCTACTGATCAAAATAGCTACTTGGGCAGCAACTGTCTACCACATCTGGAAGCTCCGCAATGCTAAGATTCATGGCAAATCTTACTCTACGGGGGTTATGATCAAGAATGCATTATTTTATGTTAAGAACTTCTGTCTATGTAAGATAAAATAAACTTTCTGATTGTAAATAACGCTGCAGTTGTTTGGTTAATGATAAAGTTGTACTTTCGTTCAAAAAAATAATAATAATAACGATTACGTAGTATAATAATGAAAAAGACTTGGACTGAAAATGGAGAAGCATTTGATGACGCACTAGTAAATCTTTTCCATGGTTGATTTGGCCCATTAAAGACCTTTGGCATATTTTACCATGATTTGGTGATTAACAAAGTTCAACTATAACTGTCGCTTCATTTTAACAATGCCCTTAATGTACCATTGCATTTCACCAGTATCTTTCGCATATCTAGTCCCATGGATGGAGAATGAGAAGAAAGTTATACATGATAACAAGCTTTCAGGAAATAAATCTTACTGAAACCGTTAATGTTTCCGTATGCACTGCATTCATTTCATTTTTGCTCCCACAAAACCATTGAAAAGTGTTCTTTATCGTGATTTGAACAACATCAAGCTGTAATAAACTGCAAGGGGAAAAATGGGGTTAATAATCATAAATGATATGTAAATACTAAATATTGACTGTTTTCATCTAATTAATTGTGTACTACATGAAAACAGTAATAGTTAAAGCAAGTGTGGTAAAGATGCAAAAGGTGAAGTGGTTGAACCAATATACAATATACATGAAGTAAATAAGTTTTAGGGTAGGAAAAAGATAGAAATTAACATCAAAATTGTACTGAAAACAATAATAAAAATACATCTTGACATTATTGAACTAAATATGTGCCCGCACACGTATTCAAAAGGACAAGCATGATAAACAAAACCAGATAAGAGAAAAATATAAAATTGTAGAAGGAATATAAAGGAGAAGATTCGGAGCTTACTCGAGACTATCAGTACAGCGAGGCATCAGTATTATGGGTTTTCTAAGTGAAACATCCAGCTTCAAAGCAGGTGATCCTTCAACCTCATTTCTGGTAAACCATTTTTCTGAGTTTGTGACTTGATCTTTAATCCTGACAAAATCTTTTGTATTGTTGGGAACAAGACCCATGAAGTAACTGATAACCTAGAAACCAATTTAGAATGGCACAAGATCATAACTGTAATTTTAGTGTAAGTACTAATAACAAGAGAAACAAAAGCCTTGTTACCTCTTGTATAAAACGGTTCAAATAAACAACCCGTACTTCACATAGCTCACCAAGAAGGCTATAGTCATGTCCCTCGTAATCTTCATCATCAACATTGAATGAACAGAATTCCAACTGTAGCTCCAAAATAAAAACCTCAATAAGTAATCCGAGAACATATCTAAGGTACACCACTTGATATCATTAAAAAATAAGCTGTTGAGAAAGTCAGATTAAGAAGAAAAATCCACCCTAAACAATGTGTAGCATGGCATTAAATTAAAGCAAGTTACTAGGAGTCATAGGAACCTTTTGAACCCAAAACGGATAAAAGATAGACAAGAAAATAAAGGATTCTTTATTCCATGGCATCCCCACATATCCGCTACAACAATAAAATAAATAAATCCTCTCTTTACCTCCACAAAAGATCTCCCTCCTGGATTCCTCATATCACATGCCCAATAATAACTGTGACTGCTGGGCAGATTGTCATCACTGATCTGAAGATTTCCCAAGGATGCCTTTATAGAAAAAGAAGATGGAAATACCTAGATAGGGGGGATATATGACTTTCAGTATCATAAGGAAAGAAAACAATGAATCCATAATACTTCTGTTTTTGTATACAATTGTGCATGTCATGTAGAGACAGGAATATATAAACCTTAATATCAGTAAGGAAATTATCTTGTGAGAGAGTAGCAAGTGAAGACCCATCTTCTTTCATCAGTAAAATCTGAGCACGAGCCATATTTAGTTTCAAACAGAAAATAACTCTAGACTTCCCTTTCCCAAGCAAATTCTTAACTAAAGGCTCATCAACTGCACCAGATGGCACACCATCAACTTTTGTATTAGAATTGTCATGTTGTCGAGAGGATGATGATGTGTCATTAAATGATTCACGGCTTTCTTCATTTATATTTATAGCATTTACAAAATGCATGATTGCCAGTATTGTAGGTCTGCGGCAGAAAAATGACAATGTAGCTAGCGTCACCACCACCTGTAAAATTAAGTAATGAAATCAAGTAACTAACTCAAATATTAATAAACTAAAAAATTGGTTACTCCCCCCCCCCCCCAAAAAAAAAAGAAAAAAAGTAGTGCACTCAAATAATTCCACCCAAAAATGAACTCAGAAACTGCCTGAAGATCAAATAATTTTCTAAGACAGGTCAATAGAATCTTTAGGGCCTACCTTCGTATCAACATTAGAATAAATAGGAGAATCTCGATCAAATATTATTACTTGTGCCTTCACAAAGCTATCAAATGTATCAGTTACTTCCATGATATTGCTAGCATTTTCAGTTGTTTCCATAGGAAGAAGACCAGCCATACGATTAAAACTAGGTGCCTTTGTGATGGTCTTTTCTGATGAGAATGGAGTTGTAGAACCTGAGAAACCAATTCCATCCCTCAACGGATGTGGGCTATCAATGTCATTTAGATCTTCTGAAGCCTCATAAAATTTATCTTCAGCATCATATTGACTAGAACTGATGATATTGTAATGTTGTCCCTGAGCGTCAATGTCAACCTGAGGACTATTGCTAGATTCACTACTACTGATGAAAGATCTTGCCAGATAATATGGCTGGGATATCCCAGATGAGAAAATTAAATCTTTTATCTCCAAAGCCTTCAGTACAGTGCCAATAAAAATATCTTTTCCCCTTATTGAAATCTCAACCTTGTAAAGAGGAAAATAACAATCTTATAATAGATAGCATATAGCCACAAATACGTCAAGAGAATAGGAAAACACGGTGCTCTTACCATACCACCCCTCGCTCTAAACTCAAATAGACGTTTCTCCTCCTCCAGCATCACTTTTGTAAAATTGTGGTCATGCTACAGAATTGAACAGTAATGTAAGGGTCATTAAAGTATCATTCAAAAATCCCAGGAAGTAGTAATTTTTTTATTGTACCAGACATGCTTACATTGCCACAATAATTGAAGCATATCTTCAACTCATCAAGAACACCAGTTAAAAACAAATTCTCCACCTTTGACTGGTCATTGGTATCATGGTTATCAATGCGATCCATTTCAGCATCTTCTGAATCAGATGAAGATTCAGAAATACCAGCGATAGGAGCAGATCCCTACATGGAAACTCGGATTGAGAACACAGATGAAAATCTCCACCAACGAAGAAACGGAAACTTTGGTGTGCAATTATATCACAAGATTATAAAAGCATTGTTTTGCACCCAATCACCCATAGGCCGTAGATGCCATACAATTGGTGCCATGAGAAAATCAGAATTAGTTTCAGATATATCCCAATTTTGCCAAAAAAATTCATGAGGACCTATGAAATACTTTGTAGTTTTTATCGAAGTTATAAAAACCGGCCCAGCCAAAAGCCTGTGCTGGCTCTGGTTAGAGTTCACAGTTTGACTAGTCTCGCACCAGTTGCAACCAACCCAGTTAAATCCCATAAATGGGGTCTAGGATGGGTATAAGCAGACCCTAACCCTACCATAAATGGGGTCTAGGCTGCTTCTGAGACTCAAACCTATGACCTCAAGGTCATAGGGAACTGGTGCCCTTAGGCTCCCCTTCTCAAAAAAAGGAAAACAACAACCTGGTTGAATCCCACAAAAGTAGGGCCTGCAGAGGGTGTGTGTACGCAGACCTTACCCCAACTCAAAAGTAGAGAGCTTGTTTCCAAAGAGAACCCCGGCTCAAGCACCACAGGCTCCACTTCTAAAAACAGAAAAGAAAAAAAGAAATCTTGCATTTAACCTACCGAAGCACGATAGATGGCTCCCTGCAAGCTACTCTGCCAAATTCTCTTCGATTCTTCAGAGTCATAATGTAATATTAGGGCATTTCCATCTTCCACAATCTACATAGGTAAATGATGTAAATAGTCAGATATTTGCATGAAACCCAACATGTGACACAAAATAGAATCCATCAATAACCTTGTTATTGGCTTGCCCAGCATCATAAATTGCCAAGACATTCTTCACACTTCCAATAATTTCAGGAGGGACTTGATAGAGTTGTTTTCCTCGTAAACTGCAACAATCAAAAGCAGCATCTCTATTACAGATTAGCACTCAAAAGGTCAAATGACATAACAGCTGTAGAGGGATGTGAAGCCAGAATTTCATTAATCATAATTCAAAGGGGCATTCATAAGAATAGTAAGATTTGGACACATAAGGAGTACATGACAACAAATTTACGTTTCTAGAAGGCATTTTGAGATGCTTGGAGTTCTATCTTGTATGTGGAAACAATAACTTTAAACAAAAGCTCTGCAAGGCCAAGAAGTTGGGTACTGCTACCTTCATATGTTCAAACGTAAGAGAAAAGAAAATGTAGTCCAAATGAAAAACTTTAGAGACTAAGAACATATCCAAAAGAATACTTTTCTTGGGGTATGGGGGTGAAGGTGGGTTGTTGTTGGGAGATTAGTTAGTGTAGTAACCATCAATCCGTGAAAAACAATCTATGTCATCATTGTAAGTGGCTGTTGGGTTCATGCATTTCCACTTTTCTCTGTGGAGTTAGAAGATCTAAGATAGATTTAAACTAAAAGGTTAAATCTTTATATATATATATATATATATATNAATATACTCCCTCCGTCCGGGAAAGATATTCCCACTTTGAATTTTCCTCATTTTTAAGAGGCATTGGCCAAAGGGGTAAATAGACAAAAATGCCCTCCACCCATCCCTACCCATCATATGGTTCATACCCAACTCCGCTGGAACTCACTGGCCCAACACCCACCGCCGCCCCAGCACCCACCACTGCCGCCGCCAACCCTACCGCCACCGCCACCCCAGCCTCCACCACTACCGCAGATCTAACCAATCACCGCCGGTAGTCACACTATCTCAACACAGCCCCACGGCAGTCCTGCCATCGGCGCCGGCCCCACCACTACCACCATTGTGGTACAGATCTAAAAAAAGAATAAAGAGAAAGAAAAGAAGAAAGAGAGGAAGAAGTGTAGACTCACCATCGCCATCGCCGGCCGCCATCATCGCCGCCTTGTGTATGCCTAGATCTAGAAGAAAGATGGAAGAGAAAGAAGAAAGGGAAGATAAGAAGAATAAAAAGTAAGGGGGGAGAAAGAGGAGAGGAGTAGGAAGAGATTGAAGAAAGGAAAGTAGGAAACCAGAGATGGGAGAGAAAGACACGAGGAGGAGGATGAGAAGAAAAAGAAGAAGAAGATTGAAGAGAGGAAGAACGGAGATGGAGGAGAAATAGGAGATGAGGAAAATGGGTGGAGGAGAAAAAAGAAGGAAAGAGAAAAGAAAAAAAAGGAAAAGAAGGAAGAGGAGGGTAATTTTGGAAAAGGAGTGAAAAAATAGTAGAATGGAAACATCATTTCCGGACGGAAAAAAGAGTAGAACGGGAACATCGTTCCCGGACGGAGGAAGTATATGAGAAGTTTACAGGGAGTAGGAGTCGGAAGGCCAATCCCTGAAACAACTTCTAAACAAAGTTAAGGATATGAATATTTTCATTCCTTACACTTGAAAACTTGCATCATGCAAGAAGCTCCCCGCTCAGTTCAACATTAGCAATGTGCTTTTTGCACGAATTTATAGTGTTAATTATAAAATTAATTAACAGCACTATAAAGTTAACGCCACCAACTCCAACTGATTGGGATTACGGTGATGGTGGTGGTGGTGGTGAAAATCAGAAAAAATGAACAAAGATCCTATACCAAGCACATGGTTTGAAGTTTGCATACAAATCCAATCCCCACTATGCGTCAAATTTGCATAAACATAAAACCTTGTTTTCTCCCTTCAAGGTATGTTGTTGTAAAACTTTCAACTACTCTTTGTGTGGTAAATGGTCCTCATTTATCATATAGTAGTTCTCCAAATCAGATAATTTTTTACCTGGTATATTGTTTGTAGGATCTAGCATTAGGGTGTTCTAACACATAAAGAAAAGGGCCCACTATGCATACATATCTCTGTTGCCATACAGCCTCCCGGCCTCCAACACCCTAAAAATAAAGTGTAAACAAAATAGAAGCTTCATAGATCAATGTCATCAAACTATCAGAATAATTGGTTTGGGACACCAGAGAAGATCTAACAACCTTCCGACTGAGAAGTGACAACCACCCCTCAAAATCAGCTTGGCTCCAAGGATTATATACGTCCAACACATTTATTTCCCTTCTCTCAAAAATCTTCGCTACTTGCATCAGCCGATGATAACGAGCAGGGGAAAAATGAAAACCAAGGAATGGAAGTCGAACTGAAATTCTTGTCGAAGGAAATCCCGGGTTTTGTAGTCGGATCTGAGGGGAAATAGTGGACTGCAATTGTTAGAGAGCAGAAAGGTTGTGCCTACATCACACTATATTTCTTTAACAGGTACATGTGATCAAATTGAAGATCAAAATGAATCAAATTTGTACCTGCTGAAGCTTCAAAATTACCCCACATTTATCAATAACAGGCATAGAGCTAATAATGTTAGACGTGGAAGGGCCACCTATTCTATTTGGAATTACTTGCCCCCAGAGGTAGTCACCATCGACCAGAAAAGCAGAGACATCACTCAAAACAAGATCAAACTGTGCATACATATTCTTGTCCTCGTGTGAAACATACTCAGAATCATCCTGGATAATTATACAAATTTAGTAACTCAACTTAAGAGACATGTTCAACTACTCTCAAAAACTTATGAGTACCTTTGTACGAATCACTAAATTTCCCAAGTCAAGCAAAAGCTTTGTGAAGTGGATGCCATCTGGAGAAAATTCTGTCGGAATGGTAACTTTGGGAGCTGCGATATTCAAATCTAGTAAGAACCTATAAAAAAATATCTCTTGTGAGAACTCTGCATGATTTCTTTATCGTCTAAAAGTACTACAACTCTTGGACCTTTAATCAGTGAAATGGTATGCTCGTTAGTTGTTATCCAATCCATTGAAATTAAAATAACATGTTCCTCCTTCCCATTATAGGAAGTCATCTTATTGTAAAAAGATATACAAACTCCACTTTTAAATTCATTAAACTTTCAACCAATTACAAAAAAGTGGCAAGCAAACAGGCAACAAGCTGCGCCGCAACCCCCTTCTGAATAGCAAACCCGATCCACTTTAATATGGCATACATTCAACAGAAGACATGATATACCACAGAAACACACAATACACAAATAACTGTTTTTATGACACAAAGCACAAGTGAGTATTTTAAAAAAAAAACCATCTCCATCATAGAAAAATAATTGAAAGAAATAGTTTTTTGAAACATGTCAGTAAAAACAACAAAAAGAAAACCTCGTTTGATCCTTAAGCATTCTGTTTACTTGTTGCTGTGCAGTTCGCTTGACCTCATCCATAGTCATCTGTCAGGAGAAAATAGAAATGAGTTGAAGACTCAAGCTTCCAAATAGAGAATTAAAGTCGGCCATTGCTCCATAAACAAACACTTACATAACATTCAAACAATCACCTTGCCAAGTGAGAAGGGTAGAGAAATGAGTACAGTGTGCTCAACATTTCCAAACACATCATTAGTTCATTACTAATGACTAAAGAAAGAAGAAACAAACCTCTAGTTTGCACCAAGTGCCAAGTTATCACTTGGATAGATCTTACCAACTATAGAAACATAAGTAGTTGAGGTACTGACTGAACCAGGGGGTTATAATTAAGAATTAAAAAATGATATAGTGCAACCATATGGTGCATTTCATAGAGCAAACGACGAGAACTTATCCCCCCATGTCATTATGTTTTAGAGACAACACAACCTTTATCATTGCCATGGTTAGATCTTCAACGATTCACAAAAGATAGGAAAAGAATTGAAATTCCAAGTTTCCAACTCGTTATAGTGGTCTAATTTTGTTCAATAACTATAAATTGAGAATGACCCCATACACGTATTTTCACTCCTCGTTTGTTCCTTCCTTAGTCTGTAACAGAGACTGTATATGGTTCCTACAGAATGCACACCAGCTAAAGAAGAAAAAAATATGGCTTTCCATGATTAGCCTACAAGCATACCTGAACAGCAGCGGCAGTCTCCAGAGCTATGCTTTGACTTACAGCAACATTGCTTTCAAAGAAGTTGACAATTTGATCAACTGAGTCCTTCAGATACTGGTCAAAATTAGGTAATCAGCAATGCAGCTCAAATCATTAATGAGAGCCAGCTAGAGTAATAGTAAATGACATGCCAAGTGATTACATACAGTTACATAACAGGGAGAAGCTTTAGCTTCCAAACTCCAGTCCAAATTAGCATCCAAAGGCTTCAAACAAAAAACACCAACCAATGATTCCTTGGCAGTTGCACTCTGCATTAAAAAAACAATGTACAATCAAGAAATTAGATGAGCAAACACCAAGCATAGAGTAGACAAGCTAGAAAACACAAATATAGGGACACATTAGGAAAGAGCAAGAGTGTACGTGGGAAAGAAATATGGGGGATCACAAGTAATTTCATTTTACCTCACCCTAGAAGTTGGGGAAAATCTAATTTGACCAAACTCAGGATCAAGGAGTGGGTAGTCATATAGGGGATCAAAAAAATTCTTCTGGACCTCATCTTCCGAAAAAATTTCAATTATTCTATCTATACTCTCATCTTTTTCATCAAAAACCATACCATAATCCCAATTCAATGGGGCAAGCTAAATGAACCAATAGAAAATCCATTGACGTCATTAACTTAATTCCTGATTTTCCATTTTTTTGCATCATGCACCATAAAGGCAAATACTAATAATATTTACATTTCAAAATTGAGCAGATATGAAAACTGAACCCAATTTAAAGGACATGTATTTGCAGCTCTTTAAAGCAAAAAATGACACACACACATGCTGACACGCATGTGTGTGCCTGATGGTTTCAATAGATGCAACAAAAAAGTATAAATCCATAGAGACTATATCTGAACTATTAGATTTAGATCAAATGGTTATGATCATAATAGAGAACTTTTATTCATTGAATCAAAAGTTTGCGCATTTAATTTTGTGTAATAAATAATGTTCTTATCAATATAATACTTCCATTAAAATGTACCTATCCACACACACACACACACGTGTGTGTATGTCTATATTTTTTGGTCTATAACGTTTTAGTGATGAAATATTGACTCCAAAATTTTCTTCGAACACAGAAACTGTAAATGAGAAGCTACACACAGATACACCTAAATGGAGAGGGAGAGAGAGAGAGAGAGAGAGAGAGAGAGAGAGAGAACAAAGCAAAAGAAAAACCTTAACAAGAGGAAAAGATGGAAAAGAGAGACACCTCAGCAATAAGACCATTTGGAGACAACAACTGATATGATCCCAACTTTATGTCAAAAACTTTTGTCTCTGAGTAAAGTTGAATAAAACAATCAAGATTGTCATAGGATAAATCAGCAAAACAGTCCTGACCATCACTAAGCTTAGATGCATTATGCTTCATGTGAATCTCCAAGGTAGTATGAGGTATATCTCTCCTGTCATGGGTTGCAAATAACGGTTCTTCGTCACCTTCCTTGTACCCAATAATATTATTTAATCTTTCCCAATCTTCCTCACTGAAAGTTCCTGGAGCTCTTTCATCTTCAACAGATTGGCTAGACCTGATGAAATGCATAAACCAAAACATCAAAAATATAATAATATATTTAAAAACTAATAAAATAATCATGCCAACAAACTAACCATCCAAATTGCCACCAAGGTTTGTTCGCTTTTTGTTTTCTTACATAGAGATCTGATTCCATCGAATTCTTCACAAACTTGTGGGCAAGCAATCTGCAGAGACATAATACAGCATTAACCCCACCAATAGTGTATCTCTTATAAGCTCTAATTCAAGGCCACTGCCAGGTCAAGTATACACTACTCTGTGGACCCCCGCAATCTGCGGTCTGAAATCCATCAGACCATCACACATGCACACACAAGAGCAAAACACGAAAAAAGAAGATAAAAGTAGCAAACATGAACAGAGTGGCACCTCCACTGAAGTATAATTTCAATATCCAGTTCACGGTCCAGTGCCTCAACATCCAAGTTATCATCGATGACAACCCGGTCAGGATCAGACTTCAATAGTGAAGCATATAAGGAAATGTATTTCTTGCGTAAGCGTGTATATCGCAAGACCTGCTCCCACGATAGTTTGCCACTGCAAGAAAGGAAAATGTTGAGTTTAAATGTTTGAACTAGTGAAGATTATAAATGTTCAAAAATGAAGTGGCCAGTAGCCACTCCATGACCCCAGATTCCTAAATGCCTTGTGTGGGCACATTGGCATGCAAACACATGCATGATAGTAATTAGCAGAGTTGAAGGATTGGCCAAAAAAATTCCATAACGATATTCAGTGATCGAGAGAGGATGTTTAGGGTTGGTCAATACGATCAAAACTTGGAAGACAGCAAAAGAGATGGCATATGTCTCAGACATGTACTTATGTGAACAAGATGTAAGGGTTTCATCTTATGATTGAGACGTTCAGTGCAAAGTTCTAAATGAATATGATATCAAATACACGATACACCAATTCAAGAACTTGGCTGGGGGTACATTCATTATGAATTATGGTTATACTAAACGGTTGTTTACACGAGCAACCACAGAAAGTACAAGCCACATGAATCACAACTCTATAAATCAACATACAGTATCTAGAAATCTATATGCTCTCTTGAACTTAAGTTTCAATGTTGTTGGTATTGAGAAATGCCAAATCTGAGTGAAGAGAAAAGGGGTAAATTTCACTAATGGTACCTGAACTTTGAGCGATATATCATTTTGGCACCTAAACCTTGAAAAAAAATCTTAAAAGTATGTGGAGCTAGTTTCCAGGTTATTGTTAGGTCACTCCGGGTATAATTGCAATTCTATATATATTTCTAATTTTTAATTTTAACCCCATCATGTTTTTTCTCCTAGCTTCCCTCTCCTTTCTTCTTCAGCAGCCCTACTTCTACCCTTTTTGGAGAAGGGGAGAAAATATAAGAAAATGAAAAAAGGGTGAGGTCAAAATTAAAAATATATAAATTGTAATAAGGCCCAAAGTGACCTGCCAGTAATCTGGAAACCGACTTAAGGTACTTTTGTGAAATTTCTTCAAAATTTAGTTATTTTTAGAGAAAAAAGTTTAGGTACCAAAATGATATATTACTCAAAGTTCAGATACCATCGATGAAATTTACCCAGGGTAGAAAGTTTTTGGTTACTACTTTAATGAAGCTCACAAATAGTACGGGTGCCAGCTGCAGCTTTCCTAAAAATAAATTAGTAAAATCTAACACTTCATTGTAAACCAAAATCAACTAAAACCAAACCAAACCAAACAAACTCGGTATTTCGCACAAGAGAATAAACCAAAAACTACAAAAAAAAAATGTGTCCAAATATTGAAGCTTTCAGTAATTTGGGACGCCCTATAAAATCAAATTCAGCAGTCCTCACTTTTTTGTGCCTATTAGAGGGACATTAATATTGATATCTCTGATGATGATGATAAAACATATTAGAAGATGAAATTAATGAAAAATAATTCTTCCAGCTCTTCAACTATTTAGATACCTGGCCTTCTTTATCTGATCAGAGACAGCTTTAAAGGCATACTGCCACCAAGATCTTGGATCAGATTTTATATCAACAGGTGGGCGAAAATGAGCATACTTCAATCGCTGGTTGAACCCTGAAAAATTCTCGGCCAACTTTATCATATCTCTATAACCATTCTGCAAACAGGTAAATCCGTATGGAGACAAATGCTGAGTTAAATAGCCAACTCCAATTGAAATACATCTCCATAAGTAAACAAAAAAAGGTTTTTAAGACTAGCCTTTGACAAACATAGAGTCACATCATCCAGAGTTACAGCTGCTCTCTGCAGCGGTTCACTACTATGAAATGATGATGCATCAGGCCGCTGTTTAGAGAATTTTGCATTCCCTGACACAGGTTGCAAAATATATGAATGCTCTTTTAAAAGATCATCAGCTGGTTTGCCATCCTGGGTCCCATTTTTGAAAACCTAAAATATGGATCTGGTGAGTAGTAGTACTGGTTCATGAAGTTCAGATGTGCAAAAGGTACAAGAAGATACCTTAACCCACTCCACTGGTAGCAAACCCTCCCATGGTTTGTCAGTATGCCATGGTATGATGTCAGAATCGAAATAAACAGCTAACTTTTCAAGCTCAACGGACTTGCATGCCATAAAAATCCATGTATTAAGCAAGCAACTAACAGGATAGTCTAAACAAGTGCATAATGTATTAAGAAAGAAAGAAGAAATTTTGTTATGTACTCCGTAGTATATAGGTATATTGGTGACACACCAAAACAATATAAATTTGAGAGGGGAAGGCGTAGCTATTTTGTGCAAGAAGTTATGAAAGCACCCCTTAGAGATAAAATGATTTGATAATAGTATCCAAAATCGTTAAGAGAATCATCAACAAATGTAAGGAATATTATGTGCATTTCAAAAGTTAAAATATATCTGCTCTTTGTATAAGGAAAGATATGTGTGTTCCACTTCAACATATGTCTAAAGGATAACATATTGAGAGTACTAGATCATATTTAAATTTCTTTTCACTACATCTGCACATATATCAATGGTACACAAGGGGAGATAGACAAATTTAGTGGTTACAATCTTGGCAGGCATAGCTTAAAAAGTAGGACATAGTAAGAACACATATGGAAAACATCAAACATATACATGTAGATTTTTAGGTGATGACAACAACTCTTGTCAAATCATAGTTGAAACAGATTGGATGAAATAACTGTGTAAAGAGGGCCGAAGGAGAAAGAGAGTAAGATAATACATATTCGTTGAACCTGGGCTATCAATGTAAAGCAAAATGAAGTCGTATCGATTCATACCTTCTGTATCCGCTCTAATGCACCTCCAGTGATAAATGTCTCCTTCCCAGTGTCATCAACTGTCATTGCTGAGAGTTTCTCTAATGTTATACCCGCAGCAAATGGATGGCCATGATTGCTGCGGCGCACCAACGCATGCATCATAAGTGACTAAAACTATCAATAGACATGAAAATTTAGTGCATGATCCTCCTTACCTCTCTACATCTTCGTATCTGATATGTATGTTCGAGATGGTAAGCTTCAAATTTCCAATTATTGTGCTGATCAAAGATTGTAGCCAAGAGGTGTTCTAGAAAACAATAAAATCAAATCACAGACACCCAATATGTCAACCACTTGCAGAAAGCAATATGACACCCTTGACAAGCCAACAATGTGTAACCAAAAGTGGTCATGATTCTCATGGAACTTGTATCATGTTGACCATCCACATCACCAAAAGGTAATGATCATGAAAATGATTTCTTAGCAGCAAGGGAAAAAGGTTGCGTATGTCCATTGCCAATGCAGCTAAAGAGTCATTTTTCTAATGTTTTAGCATAAGGTAAATAATGGACTAAGTCAAAATGGAAAATCAAACTTTCCTTGCTTAGCCGGTAAATGTAGCAATGCATCAAGGGTCTAACGGAAACATCTATGAGTTTATTTTACACGAGTAAGGTTGCGTACATCTCTAACCCCCAGAGCCAACAAAGTAGGGATTATACTCGCTCTTGTTGTGATTGTTGTTGTATGAGGAAAAGGTTGTGATAGGAATAAAAATTTGTAATTAAAAAACAAAACTCATAATTCCCTCAAGGTTTCCTCTCCCAATATGCCCTTCACCAACAAAAAAAGGCACTCCCTCTGTCTCATAACTAAGTTCCATGTATGACTTGGCATGCTTTTTTATAGAGTGTAAGTTTCATTATTAAAATTTGTTTAAAGAGAAGGAAGAATATAGACCATAAAATCCTTTCGTAAAATGGAAAGTGGAACACAATTTTGGGCAAGTCAAAATAGAAAATAAGAACAAAATAATGGGACAAAGGGAGTAATTGAGATGACGTTTTAGTTGAACTTAGAACTTATATGACTCAAGCTTCAAAGTTTAACTCAAACATAAATAAATTTTCATGTGACATGCAATCTATAGGGACAGAAATAAAAGGATTTCTCTTATGGAATCTCTCTTCAGCATATCATCAAGGGCTTAGTGAAAATACAATTCTAAAAGACTCATGGCAAACCCATAGAATATTGCTAAAATTATCTTATAGTCATGTCACAACTCCTCATTTGACTGCTGGTTTTTCCTTATATATTGCACCAAAGTATACCCCACACTTCAATAAATCAATAAATAAATGTACTACAAAAACATACTCCCTTTGTCCCATTTTAATAGTCCACATTTGGTTCGGCACGGAGTTTAAGAAAAGTGAATTTGTTTGGTTGAAATGCAAAAAAAAGGAAAAATTTGAGCCACAAAAACTTTTCCAAAAGTGGAAAGAGGACAATTTTTTGGGGCATCGCAAAAAGGAAATGACTATTAATTTGGGACGGAGGGAGTAGTTTGATAATTCTGTGAGAATTATTTCCAACTTGGCAAAGCTGCTTTATAACATACATAAAGTGCATTTTTTGTCTTGGGGGAATGCAAGAATTATTAAAATTTTCTAAAACCAAGACATTAAACATTAAGTATTGAGAAGAAATATATTTCCATGAACCTATTGCACAAGGGGCTTACTTCAAAACAATTCAAGATCATATATTCATATTGTTCCCAAATATGTAGTTAATGTTTTAAGAATAAGCCAGTTTGGCAGAAATTCGGGCATCTGGTTGAAATTAGAATTGTGATTGAGAATGTATGGGTTTAGGTATAGATTGAAATTAGGTTTTAGGTTTGTGTTGGGGGATAAAATTAGGTTTTGGTTCTCCTTCAAAGTTGGAGAATTGGTCACTTTAGGCTGAAGTTACACATGCCATAGTCTTCTTACGTTGCCAACTTGGTCTTCCATCATCCCAAGCTTCGTCATGATATGACACAAGGAGCAACAATGAGAGAATAGATTAGAGGAAGATTTAGCAATGGATTCATGGGTAATTTTTGTGACCAAACACAAGGTATGGATTTAAATTCCCAAACCCATACCTGATACCCATTCTTAGATGAACCGGACGGGCCCTAAGCTCTTTTATGCAGCTTAAACTTCTATTACTAGTTCACATTACGGTCAGAGATCTGCTTCTATTAAAATATATGAAATAGACAAAGTCAAAGAGAGCACACCATTTCTGTCTCCATCATTAGTCTACTCTCGACCAGCGTTGTTTCCATTTCCTAGTCCAAAAAGTGCAAATTTGATTAATCATCTAAGAGAACCCCTCACAACTTAAACTAAAAAGACAAGGTCTCACCCGTATCCGGTTCTTCCTAACTTCTTGAATAGCATCCGCACTAGATCCTTCAACCTGGGTTGCAGGCTCAGCCAATAAAAAAATGCGATCAAGGTGAACTACGACAGGATCTTGGCCAAGCCTGCTCCACGGGACCTACAATTCAGGAAGTAACAAATTCCAAATGAAAAAAAAGCAAAGGCCATGAGGATTTTAGGACATCAAGCCATGTTTACCTAATAGCCACACATACATAAAAACATGTGTGTATTAAGCTCATGTATCCATTAACCATCTCAATCTCAAATCTGTCTCCACCGCTACTATGAAATTCTACAATCCTTATTCATGAGAAATGAGCGACAGGAAAGAGAAATAGATTTATATATTGAAAATCTTGAAAGCAGTAGAGTGGATGGAGACAGCTTCCCACAGTCTACAATACCTGGCAATATAATTTCTATATGCTAGACTAACATCGCTTAAATGTAGACATAACACTCTGTAGTAACTATCATATTCTTTTCATTATCAAGAGTCGAGACCAAAATGATCAAATGAGCCATATGTTATTTCTTAGTTTACAAACCTTAAGTTTAACTGACCCAAGGAATCCAGCCTTAACCTTCACGGGCAACTTCAATGCATTGAGTGCCTCTGGTTTCAATTGCATGTTGGTAAGTTCTACATCTCCTGTTAAATGTTAAGAACAATGTATATCTATCAACTCAACAAAAATACCAGAATCAATAGCATATGCATTGCAGCAGTGGAAAAAGATATTTGCCCGCAGATTATAGTACTAACAAAAGAAGAGTTATGATGCAAATCGATTAAAAAGAACGGCATTACTATCCTGTTTCACTTCATTGACAGCAAAGATCCACTGAGAGTAAAATGGGAGTGTGAAACCATCACTACCATAAATAGTCCATTAAAATTCGTAAACATCATTCGGATAAAGATGCATTGTGCAGGCATAGTTAATAAGGTTATGTATGGCGTCAAGTCATGCAATTAACTGTTTACAACTGTGGGTGCTCCATAGATGAAATTCGTTTTGTGTGAGAAAGAAAACCAATGCAATAAGATTGGCAACTTGGGTTCTATCAACAACAAAGCATTGTCCCACTAGTTGGATAGTTGGGTTCTATCACTGGAATTCTTATCTTCTTACTCATACGGGGTATATTTTTAAATCATGGAACAACATCTATGCAAGTACAGCCACAGAGATAAAGTAATTGGAAATCTCCAAATTTTACAAGCTATACTGAAAATTTATTATGAAATCACATTTTTATTTGTGAAATATATATGCACTATTTAACAAAAAAAATGAGCCAACTGAATTCATCCATATTGCATACACAAATGCAAGCAAACACCGAACTGCATGCAAAATACAGATTATACAGCTTTGAAAAGCAAAATGCAAAATCTGAAATCACAATAATTACACCATTATTTTCAACTGGCAAACCGATCAATATCAACCGTGAAATACAGAGAAGCAATTAACAAAGCCACGGGTACCTTGCCAGACACTGATCTTCAGAGCTTCTTTGTTGAGTCCTGAGACATAGTTTCCCAAATACCGCTGCAGCAAATACGCCACTTGATCTTCCAGCATCTTCGCAAGCTACTATCGATCACTCCTCTTTCTCCTTCCTTCAGTAGCCGCCGAATATATACATCAATTCCAATCCCGATACATGTACGCTCGAGATTATACACGCTGTGAGAAGATAAAGTGCTTCTCAAGTATTCGATGGAAATTTGTATTGGAAATTGGTAGAATCAGGAAAACATTTTTCATTTCGCTTTCTAATACGCATGAAGTTTTGTTTTCCTACTTGACGATCGGCCGGGAGGTGAAACCGTCATTCACTTTTTTTGATACCCCATGTATTATTGCACTGGTAAAAATTTCAAACTTTACGTTATTGTTTCTGGTAGTTTTGATATTGTTTAATTCTTTAGATAAAAATATTTTCGAAATATTAGGTAAATAAATCTGTTGTCCCATATGGTTTTGGAAATGGGCTTTGATGCCCCTCTCCTTTTTCTTTATTTTTTTCTTTTTTTCTTTTCTTTTTTCATAAAGAAAAAGAAAAATGTTTGTGTATGGAATAATGAAAAGTTATTTTTCAAACCTGCATTTTTAACAAAGTTTTAAAAAAAATGTTCGTGTTTGAAATAAAAAAGCTAACATATACTTCATTTTTCTAATTAAATATTTTTGTTTTTTGTTTAAAAAAGTTTTTTTCTTTTTGAATTTGTTACAAACAAAAGAATACTGAGTAACATCTTTTTAATATATACTTTTTTGAGGATCTTTTTCATATATAGTTAATTATATATTAATAATATTTTTTGGACCGTTGCGCAAAATATTCCCTTCATCGCTTAATTTTTCATATTCTATACAAGTATTTTTCATATTTTTTCCTTTTCTTTATTTTCTATTCTATTTTTTTCTTTTATTTTATTTTTGATTAAAATAAAAGAAACATTATGAAACTAATGAACAAAAAATTAGGAATGAGCTTTCGTGGAAAAAAAGAATTTTTCATTGATTTACGTATTATTAAAATGAACCAATAAAAATCTTTTTTGGATAAAAAATGAAAATGTTTAATTTGAAACAAATGCAATGTACACTAATTGATTTTTATTGCAAACACAAAAAAATTTTGATCATCAAAACATTATAATAATTAATTTTAAAAAAGAATTAAATAAAATTACGAAAAAGATAGTAGAAAAAAATAATAAAGAAAAGAGGGGGTGTTTTTGCCAATTTTCACACTCATAGGGGCCAACGAATCTGTTCACATAATATTTTAAAGATATTTTAGTCTAGAGGGGCATTGGTGTAATAATGTGAGAACCATGAGAAGCAACAGCATAAGTTTTGAAACTAAAAGGGTAACGATGCACATTTACCAAACCACAGGAGGTCTTGGTTTAATAAACTCAATTTATATCAACTGTTTGAATTTTCTTTTCAAATATTTTAAGCCAAATTAGCAATCATTTTTAAAATAATTATCTATATTGTAATTTAAAGGGAAGAATTTATTACTTATTTAAATTTTAAAATACTTATAAGCTTTTGGAGTTAGAATTTAAAACAAATGCTTAGATGACCTATTAAAAATCTTTTAATGATGATGATACTCGTAGAAGTAATAACAATCATAAAAATATGCATTTTTTAAACTTTATAAATTCCAAATATATCTTTGAAATTGCATTAAAGACAATTATTAAAATGTTATTGCTACTTATGTTTAATATATGAAGTATATTGTAAATTATAAAATTTCTAAAAATGCTAAAATTAAAATAAAAAACTTATAGAAAGCATGAGGTTAAAATAAAATTAAAATACACTTCGTCAAATATACTTTCAAAATGTTCAGTTTGACTTTTTCGAATTAAACTAGATAAATTTTGAGTTTAAATTTTTTTCGATTTGTATAACATATTAATACAATGAAATAAAATTGTGAAACTTCTCGACTAGGTAAGTATAATAAAAATATTTCTTTTACTAATATACATTATAATTTTTTAATTAAAGCTTAAAGTTCATACTATTTGATTTAAAAAAGTCAAACTGGACAAATACATTAAGATAAATAAAGTATATTTACAAAATTTACTATGCAATACAATTGCTATTCAATTGATTATTAAAATTTGTCAAATTTGATTTGAAAAAATAAAATTAGGAAAATACTCTTGGATGAAAATAATACAGTATAATTTTGGATTATCAAAGTTACACTTTACTATTCACCACTTTGAATGCGAACTTTGATCGTTTTTTGTACATATTTTTACTACTCACTGCATATATAAGATTGTCACAGAGTATTTTTGTAGAATTTTATATAAGCTTTAAATATTTATTTTATTTTTTCCAATTTCGAACCAAATTTAAAAAAAATGAGTTAAAAATGTAATTTTCTCACTATCCTTTTTGTTGCCATAAAATTATTTATTCACCTTTTCTCTTTTTAGAAAAATATATATTGAGAATACTTCTTTTTATTATAATCACTCACTTGTTACTATTTAACATCTATGTATCACTTTCCTTGATATATATATCCATGATATAATTCAATCTGAAAGATAACAACAATCTTAGGTGTGTTTGGTGAGCAAACAAGATATTAGTTTTGATATCTCCAGATATCAAAATTCTTTTTGAAATTTGGATGTAAGGTGAAGCCAAAAATGATATCATAAATCCTTGAAATGAAGGATTTTGATATCACCCAAATTTGGGAGATATGAATATGGAGGTTTGATATCTCTCTCAATTGTTGATTATTTATTGTCACCGGCTACCACTGTCACCACCAACCACCCACGTTGCCAGTAACCCTCGCTTATCAGTAATTAAATCAGGATTTTAAATTTCTCCAAATAAATTCATTTCATATTTCAAAACTCGTATAATTTTTTTCAAATTTTATAACTCATATCTTATCGTATCTCCAAAACTCACCAAACGAGCCCTTAATATAGTCCCACAAAAATGGGGTCTTGAATCTTGAGAGGACATCTGCATGCAAACATTACCTCTACTCAAAATTAAAGATGAAAAATACTCCCTCCGTCCCACTATATTTGTCCACTTTCATTTTTGCACACCATCCAATGCACTTCTTTAATCCATTTTATCTTATAATTTGTATATTAAAAAATTATAAAAATTATATATTAATAATCTATATGTTAGAACAAATCAAACAAGATCACACATGACTATATTTAGGCTTACACATTGAGAGAATTTGATGAGTCAAAGTGCTTAGATGAACAGTTTCAAAAGTCAAAAGTGGACGAATATAGCGGGACGGAGGTAGTAATCTCAAATGAAAGCAATACACCCCTGTCATATAAAGACTTTCCTGTGGCAAGTTTTAGTTGTTGACTAAATTTAATTTCAATCCAATTTATATGAAATTTGCTTTAGATTAAAAAAATAAAATTTGTATATTTAAAAATCACATAAAATTATAGAAAATAAGATGTGACAAAACTTTATTATGTACGAATATTATTTTATCAAATGAGAAATGAAAATAAGAAACAAAACGGTCAAATTTTGAGTTTTTTAACATAGAAATTGTGGACATGAAAGTTTTATTTTGGGGACAAAGAAAGTATATGAGGTACGGTTGTATGATAGAACTTCAAGAAAGAAAATAAGAATGAAAATTTTAAAGTCACAAACAAAAAGTCACAAAATTCACAATATTGCTATTTGTGAACCTTATGGAAAAGGGAATGACCTTAAATAGTTAAAAATTGAAAAATTAAATTCACAAATGATAAATGCATAGATTTTGTGACTCTTTTGTTTGTGATTCTACCATTATAAACAGATCAGCTTAACTCTAAATGGCAAAGAATTAATATAGTAAGTTGGATTAGAGAAACTAGATGTCCCCATGAGAACATGGGCTAGTCACCAAACCACCAGCCTCTAGCCTACCTCATTCATCATTCAACCTCTTCTTTTTCCCTTTCCATTTTTCTTGGCATTATTCAAGGATGAACCCCATTCAAGAAGGCCTCTCAGAACCGTCTCCATCACCTGAAAAGAGATAAATTGAATTTAATCACAGATTAGTTACAAAAAGTGAAACTTGCACTTGATAGTAGATCCTATGCTTAGCATACCTAAATTTCCTTGTACAGTTGTACCACGGGCATACAACTCGCTTTTGGGCTAGCGAGCTCCAACCCCTCTCATAAATATATGTGGATTGAGCTTGGCATCTTGAACTTTGTTATAATAAAATAAAAATTAGGCTGAGTATCTTGGGACATATCCTAATATACTCATCATTCATAATTGGGGATTTTCATCTCAGTAATTTCTATTTTCTTTCTCACATATCTAAACAGATTTTAACTATATATATATTCCTCACATTTCAAACAACTTTTAACTTACAAATCAAATGGGTAAAAGATACTAGATGGAAAGAATACATGAATTTAAAGTAAGAGAAAAAAAATTCTAACTAGGGAGTATGAATTTAAAACATCAAAACATCAAATCCGGAAATGTTTTCTAGGACGGAGGGAGTATTTTATGTATACCAAAATATGACATTTAATATTTTATACCAAAACATGACTTAAAATTTATAATGTCAATTAATGCATAAACATAATGACAAAAATCAATATTAAATGGCAACACATAATACCAAATTATGTGTCATTTCACAATGCCAACAATGAAAATGTCTAATTATGTGCTTTACAGGAGAAAGGGGAGGTACATAATTAAGACCCCTTTTTGGTAGACCACTAAGTGAAACCTGAATCCTTAATGTTTGTGTGTACAATACTATCATGATGCCCGGTTTTCAATTCATGTGTCCGATAAACAAGAACAGCCAAACGGGTCTCAATCACATCGTCAGCCATACTCAAATCTCTGGCTATTTGTCCAACTTTGCAGTGTTTGGTTGCCGAGTGAGTGTGGAATTTGACTCCAACCCATGAGAAACGAGGCAATATGACAATTAGGGTGGACGCAGTACCGGTCTGGTCTGATTCCGGTATCCATTTTAGGAGAGTTGGTACCGCTACCATGTAGGGTCGGCTTCGATCCGATTTCCGTTCCTGGCCAGTTCCGGTTGCGGTTTTAAATTCCGGATTAGTTCTGGATTACTTTGTTTTTTTCTTAAAGTGTTATCTATTTGATCCCACACTAAATTTCGTTGATATATATAGTGAATCAACCTCAAACAAATTGAGGATAACATATTGAGAGTACTAGATCATAGTATAAATTTCTTTTCACTACGTCTGCACATATATCTATGGTCCATGAGGAGAGATAGACTTATTTAGTGGTAAACAATCTTGGAAGGCATGGCTTAACAAGAACTCTTATCAAATCAGAGTTGAAAGAGTTTGGATGAAATATCTGTGTGAAGAAGACCGAAGGAGAAAGAGAGTAAGACAATGCATATTTGTTGAGCATGGCTTATCAATGTAATAAAAAATCAAGTCGTAATCGATTCATACCTTCTGTATCCGCTCTAATGCACCTCCAGTGATAAATGTCTCCTTCCCTGTGTCATCAAATATCCTCGCTGAGAGTTTCTCTAATGTTATACACGCTGCAAATGGATGACTCCGATTGCTGCAACGCGCCAAAGCATGCATCATTAGTGGCGAAAACTATCAATTGACACATAAAATTTAGTGCATGATCCTTACCTCTCTACATCTTCATATCTGATATGTATGTTTGAGATAATAAGCTTCAAATTTCCAATTATCGAGCTGATCAATGATTGTAGCCAGGAGGTATTCTAGAAAACAATAAAATCGAATCAGACGCCCAATATGTCAACAATGTGTAACCAAAAGTGGTCATTATACTCATGAAACTTTTGTCATGTTGACCATCCAGATCACCAAAAGGTAATGATCACAAAAATGATTTCTTAGCAGCAAGGAAAAAAGGTTGTGTTTGTCCATTGCCAATGCAGCTAAAGAGTCATTTATATAATGTTTTAGCTTGAAATATATCTTCAGCATATCATCAAGTGCTTAGATAAAATACAATTCTAAAGGCTCGTGACAAAACCATAGAATATTGCTAAAGGCATGTCACAACTCATAATTTGAATGCTGGGTTTTTCTTATATATTGCACCAAAGTATACCACACATGTCAATAAATAAATAAATGTACTACAAGAACATAGTTTGGTAAGTTTGTGAAAAGTATCTCCAACTCGGAAAAGCTGCTTCATAACATAGATAAAGTGCATTTCTTGTTTGTCTTGGGGGGAGTGCAATAATTTTTAACATTTTCTAAAACCAAGATATGAAATATTAAATATTGGGAAGAAATGTATTTGCATGAACCTATTTATTATTGCACAAGGGCCTTACTTCAAAACAAATCAAGATCACATTGTTCTCAAATAAAAAAGTTATTGTTTTAAGGATATGTTTTAAAGATAAGCCAGTTTGGCCAAAGTTCAGGTATCTGGTTGAACTCAGAATTCTGATTTGGAGGTATGGGTTTAGATATAGATTGAAATTGAGTTTTTGGTTTGTATTGGGGGATAAAATTAGGGTTTGGTTCTCCTTCAAAGATGGAGGCATGGTCACTTTAGGCTTAAGTTCCACGTGTGACATGTCGTAGTCTCCTTACATTGCCAACTTGGTCTTCCCTCATCCCAAGGTTTGTCGTGCAATGACAGAAGAAGCAACAATGAGGGAAAATATTAGAGGAAGATTGAGCAATGGATTTGTGGGTAATTTTTGTGACCATACACAAGGTATTGGGTAATACCCATTCCTAAATGAACCAAACCGACCCTAAGCTCTTTTGGATAGTATAAAATTAAAATTATATTACTAGCTCACATTACAGTCATAGATCTGCATTTATTAAAATATAAAAAACATGAAATGAACACAGTTTCAAAGAGAGCACACCATTTCGGTCTTCAGCATTAGTCTACTCTCAACCGGCCTTGTTTCCATTTCCTAGTCCAAAATATGCAAATATGATTAATCATCTAAGAGAACCCCTCAAAACTTAAACTCAAAAGGCAAGGTCTCACTCGTACCCGGTTCTTCTTAGCTTCTTGGGTAGCATCCGCACTGGATCCTTCAACCTGGGTTGCTGGCTCAGCCAATAAAAAAATGTTATCAAGGTGAACTACGACAGGATCTTGGCCAAGCCTGCTCCACGGGACCTACAATCCAAAAAGTAACAAATTCCAAACAAAAAAAGCAAAGGCCGTGAGGATTTAAGGACATCCAGCCATGTTCACCTAATAGCCACACATTCATAAAAAATCATGTGTTTATTGATCTCATGTATGCCAGTTAATCCAAAAAAATATACAAAAAGAAAGTTATTTGCACCCCATAAGAACCATATTTTCAAATGGAAATATGCTAGACTAACATGGCTTTAATGTAGACATAACACTTGCCAGTAAATATCATGTTGTTTCAATATCAAGAGTCAGGTCCTAAATGATCACATGAGCTACTCCCCCGTCCCAAAAATTCCTTTCCCTTTCTTTTTTTTCTTGTACAACAAAATCCTTCGTTTTTCTATTAAAAAACCACTTTTACGCCTACCAGTTTTTAACCTACCTATAACATTATACCGTTTTACTAATAATCTACCAATCACATCCTACTTTTACACAAAATTATCTCTCCCTTAAATTTTATAAAAGTCAAAACGAGAACATCTTTACGGGACGGAGGAAGTATATGTTATTTCCGAGTTTACAAACCTTAAGTTTAACTGATCCAAGGAATCCGGCCGTAATTCTCACAGGCAACTTCAATGCATTGAATGCCTCTGGTTTCAATTGCATGTTGTTAAGTTCTACATCGCCTGTCAAATGTTAAGAACAATGCATCTATCAACTCAACAAAAATACCAGAATCAATAGCATACGCATTGGGAAAAAAGATATTTTCCCACAGATTACAGCATTAACTGGAAAACCGATCAATAACACCCAAGAAATACAGAGAAGCCATTGATAAAAAGCACGAGAACCTTGCCAGACACTGATCTTCAGAGCTTCCCTGTTGAGTCCGGAGACATAGTTGCCCAAATACCGCTGCAACAAATGCGCCACTTGATCTTTCAGCATCTCCGCAAGCTACTATATATCTCGATCACTCCTCCTCCTCCTTCCTTCACTATCCGCCGAATATATGCATCAATTCGGAAGTTTAGTTTTTGGATTTAAAAAACACAGAGTTGAAAGATGATTATTAATTAGTGTCTCTGCGTGCTTGTGAAGGAGAATGAGTTCCTATACATAGCCCGATTAGATTTTCTTATTACCTATTTTAACCATTAAAATATCACAACTACCGTCACTTACTTTATTTATTACATTTCACCTACGGAGTATTTCATTTAATACACTTCATCCATTTTCATTAGGGGTATTATAGTAAACTTTCACCTTTTTTAATTCTCCTTAAAAATGACAAAAAATCAAAACGAGAAGATTTTAGAGAGACAGAGGGAGTAAAAGTTAGAGAGAACGTGACATTAGTTCTAGGTCAGATGTTATTAACTATTAGTTAGGCTGTAGGACTTGATGTTACCAATTCTATTAAAATTAATCGGTGTTAAAAAAAAGTTTATATTCCAGTCTTGTAGTGCATTCAGCATAAACAAGATTGAACTTGTGACCTTAGCTTTAACGAAATTTATTGAACCTCAGACACTATCAACTCTTTTAAATTAAAATCAATTGATATTACAAAAAACATATACTATAGCCTCATAGTGCATTTAACATACACAAGGATCCAAGACATTTGAGTGTGATTTGACTCACATGTACTCTGTCACGATATAATTGAAGCACACATAGTAAGCAAATCCAATTTACAGTACCAAAAAAACACACCTAGAGTGTTTATTGGGCCGAATATGTTAGCTGGCCCAATTATATCAAAAGGAGTGCAGTTCTCAATCATCATAAGGCCAAACAAAACAAGCTCAAAAATATAAGGATAGGTAATACGGAGTACTTATCCATTCATACCATACTATAAAAACTTGAAATATTTTTCTTGGATAAAAAATAACTATACAATAAAATCATGTTACATTATTTAATATTATATACAAGTCGAAACTTCTCAATTTAACTTGTCACAATATTTATGTAATGTTACATTTTTTAGACTTTACTAAAATGTCCTTAATCAATTTTTCCCAAATCTGAATGCCCCCTTCTACTCAGTTGATGCTGATGGCTACGCCGTTGGGCGCCGCTTATTCCAAGGGAGAACCACATTAAAAAAACTAGCTGTTAAAGTGGGATAACTCTTGGCCTTATAAACTCATGCATCACCAAGTCTTCCATTTACCGGGTGTGGGACAATAAAATAAGTTTTTATCATTCGACCCCTTATAAGGCCCAACGTCCTCGTTGGTCATGGCCACATTGGTCACGGCTGGTTTCACCATGCCACCACTCTGAGTTGGCTCTGATACCATTAATACAACACAAGAGAGAGTCACACCATAAAAGCTAACTGTTAAGGTGGGAGAACATTTGGTCATATAAACTCATCACCAAATCCCCCATTTACCTGGTGTGGGATAATGAAATCAGTCCGTATCATTCTATCGTTCCTTCTCATCAAGATTTGAAGCTTAATCGAAAGCCATAGATCCATATGCAGAAAGCGAATAAGCAATTGCTTCAAGCCTTCGAGGTTGTTTTTGGGTCGAAGAAGAGCGAAGGAGAGATGAATAAATTTTTAGGGGGGTGGGGGGTTTCCGGGTTTGGGTTGAGTGAATAAATGAGGGAGGGTAAATGTCATTTGATCTAATTTTTTAAAGATCTGATCTAATTTGTTCTCATCTTATCTAATTACAGTTATAATTAATGTTGTTTTTTATCTGATCTGATTTAATCAAATTTGACCTGGTCTGATCTGATCTCATTATAATAAGAATAAATAATAAGCAGAAAAAATAAGTTGAACGGAACGTTACCCAAGTGTCATCTAAACACTTAAACCAATAATTTTTTTTCCTTTTTAACGGAGACGCCACTCTTTTAATACACCTGAATAATCAATCGAGTAAAAGAACACCACTCTTTTTGAACCTTCACTGAGTTCAAACTATCAGGACGAACATCATTCTTCTCGAATATCCTAAATGTCGCTTTTTAAAGTTTTCACCTTTAAGAAATTATCCCCATCCTGCAGGACAATCCTTGTTAGGCGATTTTTTTCATGATTCGTATTTTTAATTGAGAAGGAACATTCATCTAAGGATAACGAGTGACTTGCGGTCAAAGAAACCTTGGTAATTATATTATTGCGGCACTTTCCACAACCCAATATGGATTTGTTTCTACGGCAAGGTCATGGGTAGAAAGAAAATGAAATGACTATGATTCTTTTGATTCAATATGGGTAAGGTTTAGGTTTGAGGTGTTGCCATTTTGGAGGGTTTGGTGATGGTAAAGAATTTGGATGGGAGGAAGAATTGAACAACGGCCTGGCGGGCAGGCAATGGTTGCACCGTCCATCAGGAGCGAAGGCACAAAATTTTTGGTCACCAAGAATTTTGTTCAGATACTATGTAGGAAACATTAATGAGAAAATATTTTTGTATACAATGATCTTTGAGATTATAAAGACTCAACTCTCTTTATATAGGATGAGGATAAAACATACAAGTAAACTGTTACGCGGAATTCGAGAATAACAAAAACAGAACGCGAAAAACACGACAACAGATTTAACGTGGTTCACCAATGTTGTGTTGGCTAAATCCACAAGAAGAGGGGGAGCAGTTTTATTACGGACGAAGAGGCAAGAACAGAATATAGAATAGGGTTTGTGGTAGCACCCATACATATAGTGCTAGGCTACCCCCGTACTTCCTGCTATAACTGGTCAGATTCAAGGCATTACAACATAAACTTTTATTCTTATCATAAATATTTTTTTACTATAACAAGAATTCTGCCATACTAGAAAAATATCCAACCAAATCTCAAACACATCTTTTCTATAACATGAATTACATCAAACTAGGCGTTGGGTTAAGGATTAACTATTGTTAGATAGTTTTTTCGAAATATTAAAACTAAATATTGAAATTGATAAGTTTTTTTTTTAAATCTAAGATAAATTCGAAAGGCATTAAAATCAAAGCACCAAATCAAGGGGTTGGTCGGCAGAAAAAAGATGTCTCCTTGTTTACACAGCTGACATTTTTGTTTTGTCACTTTATCATATGGTGGCGTTGGGATTGGAATTTTCACAAGATATATTATTTGATTATTGTGTTGTGGAACCAACTACTTCGTCATTAGTGGGCGTCTAATTGTCATTATTCACCTCAACTAGATTCATTCACGCCTAATTTTGGGATTGATAATACGTATTATATATTTTCGCACGAATAAAAATAAAAAATGAAAATATATTTCTCCGTCTAAAAAAGAATGGCACATTCACTATTTAAAAATCATGATGCTTGTATTCTTGTTAACTCTTATTTTAAAGAATTTGATTCTTATTTAGTTTTTAGTATGTAAATTGTATTTTTTTATTTTATATCAATTTTTAAATAAAATAAATTGAAAATTTTTAAAATTTCCTTTCACTTTAGTACATAATGCGACAAATATTTTAGGATAAAAGTACTCATATAAATTGTAGAGAATAAATATAAAATCAATTTTGGGACCTATTGGAGAGTTGTTAGGTCTTTGATGCTAAGCTATGCCTTATCTACATATATGATATATTGATATATCACCGACCCGTTGACACTGGTATCCAATATCAACAGATGATACTTGCCTATTTCAAGTTTCTCGGGTGCTTCATTCTCAAAATTGATGGTTCCTGTCCCTAAACCCTAATTGGACCCCACCCTAAATCTCTCTAAATGTGTGGCTATTATGCATTGCATATTTGCATAACAGGTTGCATAATAACCATACATTTGAAGGGGGTATAGGGTGGGGCTGCGGGGGTGAGACTACGGTGGGATGCGGTGGAGATTTATGAGGGTAGGTTATGGAGGATATGAACTATTAATTTTTCATTTGGAAAACTATAAGTGTTCGAAATAGCTAGTCGATTATCATCCGTTGACACCCTCATCCAGTATTAACGAAACCATGCCGATGATATATCTTCATTTAAATTCCAAAAGATTGGATTCAATTTTCTTGGTTGGAATACATATCAAAACTTTTTTTTGTGTACTTTTGAAGTAAGAGTAGTCCATCATCTAGAGAAAGTATTTGTATACATACATTAATGATTCGCTCTAACACATGTGGTCACAAGTCACAAAAATATTCCAATCATATTTGCAAAAAACGAATTGACGACAAGAACAAGTTGAAATCTGCGTCTACTTTGATATTTACTCCATTTTGTCAAATGTTTGAATTAAACCACACTATTCTTAAGATTCAAAGATGATGCTTTGCTTTCTTTTTTTCTTTTATATATAAAGGAATCAAAGATGACCAAGATTTAGGTCCTTAAAAAAAGACTAAAATCGTTCAACGCGTATATTGATTTTCTAGAAATAAATAATTAGGTGTGTGTGAATAACAATAAAAAGAAAATGTATCAACATTTGGTTATGAATTGGGGTATGAACCAAAAATCACTCTAATGTTTTTGGAGTAGAAGGTCTTTGTCGATATATTATTAATTCATACAAAAATAAATTTTGAATGAATATTTATTTTTTAAGTTTATCAATTTATTTCGTATTTCTTAATTTGAATCAATATTTATTTATTAGTTTGCATCTTCACTTATTGCTCACGTTGTTGAACAAAACAACATTGTGACTATCTACACAGGGCACAACTAATAGAAATGTAAATTTATATAATGTCAATCTTTTAACACTTATTGTTGACCCGAATAATATAAGTGTAAATTTTAAAAAATATCGGTTTTTTTTAAAAGCATCTTAAGCAGCGTTGTATATTTTAGTCTTGACTTAAGCAGCGAGGGTGACTCAATTGCCTTGACCCGAGTACAGGTGGTACTAGTTTGATCGAATATTGTTACTTTCTCCCTTTAGAATGCAATCTTCTCTCATTTTTCCTCTAGTGCTTATCTATAGGGGAGAGATCTTGTGGAAAATTGGCGGGAAACATAAGGTAGTTATACAATAACTCACACTCTAGCATGCTTACCGCCAAGAGCATGTGTGTCAGATTTCGCCTCAGTCATGATAGATGGTTGGACAGAGGTGATTGGTTCCTCTCAAGATGATTCTTGCCTGGTACTTTGTCTTGCTCCAGGCGAGCCTTGTCGCGCCCAAGTTTGTTCCGAAAAGCAATCGAGACGTCTGTCTACCCAGTCCGATTGAAGATCGAATCATATATCAACTCGGTACGCGTTGCCATCGGGACAGGGACTATTTGGGCCGACCCAATGTATGTTGGGCCTTTCTCCCAAGTCCCAACTACAGCCATTGGACCTTACCCCTACACTCAATCTCCAATTTCACACCTTGTTACAAAAAAAAATTGTAAATGACATGCTGCATATATATTACGATGACGATACACAGAGTTTGTGTTCTGGTAAAAGAAAAAAACAAATATACATTTATAATAAATAAATGAATTTAAGAAAATAAAAGGAAAAAAACTCAAAAATGTCAAGATCCATAGCACAATGTACATCCCCAACATGGTGGGTTTGCCCTAAAAACAATACCAATTTTTGCTAGTTCTTTAGCAGAGAAAATAGATTAATAATAATAATAATAGATCAAACAAACAAAAAATTATGTTTATTTATTATTTATATTCAATATATATATCCATTTTTCCTTCCTTTTTTGCATATTTTACTCTGCTCTTTTAAAATAGCAAGTTTGGGCCTTTTCCTTGTTAGTGGGCCGGTTCGCGATAGACCGAGGCCTAAAAATCGGCCTTCCTTAGCAGAAAAACACTTCCACGCTGGAGCTTTTAACGGAGAGGCAAACAGGACACGCCTGGGCCGCCGCATCGCACGCCGCACAGAGGCAGAGATGACGGCACGGCAGCACCACAGCGGAGGCGACTCGGTGGTGACACGCCCGGCAACTCGGTCCGACCGAGGCGGCGGCGATCCTATCCGGGTCAATGTACGCCGACTCGGCATCCTCGGTGTCTCCGCCCGCACAGACCACCGTCGCGGCGTTGCCGTCTCCTCCGCGGCGGTTAGCGCTGGCCATCACCTGCTGCATCTGGGCCTGAATCGCCGCCGCCGTCGCCTCCTGCGACCTGGCTCTCGCCTGCCACGCTTGCGACTCGGCGCTCAACTGAGCCATCCGGGCGTGTAGCTCCGAGTTACGCCTCGCCGCCTTCTCCATCTCAATCTGTTTCTCCTTCAGCCGCAGGGAGATCGCCTCCTCCGCCGCTCCGATCAAAGCACGGTACTGCCTCTTCCTATTCTCCTCCAACGTCCGCCTTAATATCTCCCCCTATACACACAAATCAAACCAGAAAATGATTTGAGGTTTTACCAAACGACCAAACACAAATTCCAGAAATTCCTGAAAAAACGAATTGAAAATCTTCACCTGAGCGATGAGAAATCGATCGATTTCATCGGACTGCTGTTTGATGTGAGCGTTCAAATCATCCGCCAATGTCGAAAACAGAAGAGACGATTGGGAGAAGGGAGGAGAAACGGAGTTCTGTTGAATCCGCTGCTGCGATTGTTGATCTCCGAAGGCCAAACGCAGGCCGGTGGACACGACGTTAGGCCGTGGAGGCGACGGCGGCTGCATCGGTCTATTCATGGCGGCAATGACATGGATCTCGTTTTCTCTAGCCCTCTTCCTCGAATTCCCCACACCATCTAGAAACAACCAGAGCACATGAGTTTCTTCTGAATCCATGGGGAAGAAGAAGAAGAAGAAGAAGAATATGAGAGATAAACAGTTAGTTTTAAGTTCTAACCTGTGGGAACCAATCTGATAGAGTCCTGATCAACCAAAGAGCATTCATTGTTCTTCCCATCCTGCAAACCCCTGATACATAGACAGAGATAGATTCAACAAACGCAAGCCTGAAACCATTTCGAAGGCGAGAAAGACGAAAAGACAAACCTGTTGTTGTTGGTGTTGAAGAAGAAGACATTATTGGAAGGGTAATGAGCTTGAACAGCCATAGCTATAAGATGATCTCCTCTACAAACAGCCAGATATNATTGGGGGGGGGGGGCAATCACGTTTTTGATTGATTCTTGGTGAGTTAGTAGAGAAGGAAATGGAAAGTGAATGAATGTTGAATCACAAGAAGATTAGGCCGCCATTTTTGGCCGAGCTTCAGAGCTCTTAACAACAACAGTAGTGGTAGTAATAATGGATTCCTCCAGGGAATGAAAAAAAAAGAGGGAAGCGTTATAAAGAAAAGGAAGGAGGTTCGTTTCTTGCTCCTCTTCTTCGTCGGTTTCTTTGGACAGAAAGAGTATGGGGGGGCACTGGGAGAGAAGAGAGAATTGAGTCTCCCGTTTATGGATGACAATTCAACCCGAATCCGAGCTTAACCGACCCGACCGACCACTAAAAAATCCGAACCCGATCCGAATTTTTTTACCCGAACCCGACATCGGGTCGGGTCGGGTGTGGGTTTATTATTTTACCCGACCCGACCCGACCCGAACCCGACCCGACTCAAACCCGAATATTTTATAACTTAAAAGCCTATCTATGGATATAATGAGCACTCCGTATAATCTCTTGACAAAGTGCTACTATACCAAATATGCCTTTTATAATCATTTTTTATAATTTCTTAATAAAAAAATGAGACACAAAAAAATTTAGATGTAATCTTTTTAAAATTATTGGGGTACACCGAATTGATTATTAGTTAAAAGTCGGGTTCGGGTCGGGTTCGGGTTTTGGCTTAAAAAGTCGGGTTTCGGGTCGGGTTCGGGTTTCGGTTTTTAAAGTCGGGTCGGGTTCGGGTATAATACTATCCGACCCGAACCCGACCCGTTGCCATCCCTACTCCCGTTTCTTATCAACTCTTCAACTTTCCACCGCTTTTGTATTTATCGCTTTTTTTTTAAATTCTCATTTAAATGGAATAAATCGCGTAATTTTATACGGAGGCTTTTTTTATTATTATTTGAAATTGAAAGTGTTATTCCCTCCGTTCCCAATTTGATTACAAGTTACGGGTTACGGAGCGAAATTTTCTACTTTTTAAAATCATATTATTTACAAATTGGTATATCAATAAGATATAAAAATTACATAGTATTAAAAAACTACGTCAAAAGTTCTACGAAACAAGAGGTGACAAGAATATTTCATTTTATCAAATACTTAATAAAATCACGTAAACAAACAAAAGTTATCGAGAGGAGAGAAAAAAAAATTATAATCTATTAAGGGACGGAGAGAGTATTTTTTTTGTTTGTTTAAATTTAACCGGAGTATAAGAATTCTCTTGGAAGGCAATATTTTCCGGGATAGACTGAATTCTGATTTGGAGTTCTACGGATATTTCACCCCCGTCAGTAGAGTTGGTCCGTCTCTCCTTTTTTTCGCTACGTGGGCCCGGTTTATTTTAATAATTAAAAAAAAACTATTCCAGTTCTATAAAATCTTCCGATTGTACTCCTTCATAATAAACTAAACAAAATTTAAATAAATAAATTTTATGAAATTTGATATATCAAAAATATATTCTAACGATAAATCTAATTATACTGAAATTTGTATTTTATTTGCAAATTTTAGAGTATTATTTTTGTGAATTTGAGTATTTGGTTTAAATGATTATAGTTTCACATTATTTCTTTCATTCTCTGTATAAACTTGTATCATACTCGTATAATTTCATTTCTTAAAGTCGATAAAAAAAATAAATGTAAACTTCTTTTTTTTTTGCTACATAAAAAGGAAAAAAATAAAAGAAAAGAAAGAATCGCCACTAGCTTTTGCTGAGATCCCGTCGTCAAGTCCAGAAATTTCCTAATGCACTGTGCTGGCGAGGGAGGTGTAATGATCACGTTTGGACTCTGAAAAAAAAAACTTGCAAGAGAATTTCTATGTTTTTTTTACAGCATGTACTATTTCTTCACACATTTCAAGGATCCAGTAAATAATGCAGTATTGATTTCTTAGTACAGTAATTTATACTCTCACAATTCACAAATTTTATTTTCTTCTCTTAAAAAAATGTTTAAACTATTTACTTCATATTCCCAAATTACCAAATCAATTTAATCATTCATAATGATACTTTGCCCTCAGTGTGGGTACAAAAAGAAAAAAGAATTTTTGTGCATATATACCAGAGACCATTCATCTCTTTGATCAATTATTTGAAATTAAAATTCATTCTACATTTTTACATATCACTATCTTGACCAGTTCTCGATGACTCGATCGCATCCTTTTTAAAATCATAACGACACTTTGATGGCGTTAGACAAGACTTGTAATTTCTAGGGTTGTTTTCTCGTAGATTAAACGACATACGAATTAGCTAGATTCTTAAATAAGTCTCAATTTTGATAATACCACCTTAAAGTTTTAAAAATATGACTAGAATGTGACGTTCAAGATGATGTTTTGTTGCCAAAATTTACTAGAATAAAGTAATTAGATTGCTAGTTGTTCTTAAATATTACGGATTATTTAAATTGATGGGTATATTGAAGTTGACCTATTCTCTTTTCTCATCACAATAATGTTTAGACGCATAAAGAATTTTATATATGTTTAAGTTTAATCCTTATTATCATTGCTTTAAGTTTAATTTGGTTATCGTAGTAAGCTTCGGCCTTGTTTGGGGATAACGTTTTCGATTAGCGCTAGCGTTTTTTGATAACATTTTACTGGTCTGTATTAATTCTGAAAACGCTAACGCTAAAGACTATCGTCGGATAATTTTTTCAAAATGCTAACGCTAATCTCTAACTCTTAGGCAAATGAGGTCTTCATATTTGAACCTTTGCGGTCAATATTTATAAATTTTGACTACAATGCTACTAGATTTATAACCAAATTGCTTCACACAAAAAAAAACTAAATTGTTTTGAAACATAAGTTCAAAATACTTCGAGTTTATATACTCCGTAGTTTTTTAAAATTTATAACAATAAATATTTATGGTGAATTCGGGTAATTAATAATTGAATGATGTACAGTAATTACTCCGTTTAATAATTTAAAATTTACGGTACGGAGGAGTTAATCCATCCCATCTTAATTCTTAACCACTGTTTGAATGATTCTTTTATTTCGAAGAAAAAGAAAAACTGATTATTCCCTATATAAAAAAAAAAAAGAAAAAAAAACATTATGGGAAGAATAAATGTGAGAGGTGGGGAAAATGGAAATGGGTGATGATAGTGGTGGGTGGGCAGAGGGTCTTTGCCGTTACCGGTGCCGCTGGGATGGTTTAGTACAGTAGGTGGCCCCCACTTTTATTTTTTGAATTTATACAAAAAAGTTATTTATTTATTTATTTATTTATTCCTAATCTACTACTATCTTGGTTCCAAAATTAAAGGTACAGATCAAGGTACGAATACTGACTAAAAAAAATTATTTTTAATTCAATTTATGTTAAATTTAGTGTAAAGAAAAAAAATGAATTATACATAACCTGTATTTTATGCCTAAATTATTTAGTCAAATTATCAATAAAAATATATAAAAGAAAAAGAAATGATTTGGCTATGTGAATTTCAATTGTGTCTTTTGCTTTGGGAAGAAGAGTCTTTTTTTTTGTTTATTTAATTAATATCTTAGAGATTTGGGAACAACAATGCATTGTCAATATTCTTTAGGTGAATGGAACACTAAAAAAAATGAAATGAATGGAAGACAAACTGTCCCCCTTTGCTTAGAGAAAGGGATTTGGTTTCTTCTACTGTTACCCAATTAGCATTATTATTATTGCCATTAATTATTGCCCATTTTTGTTGATTGTTATTTTTAATTTGGGATAGGGTAGATGAGATGTATACCATGTGGACAATCAAAGATGGCTATATCAAATAGGCAACCAAAGATGGCTATCTTAAAACTAGACTTGTGCCATTACTTTGTTTTGAGGAAAACAAAATTATATTTTCATTATTAATTGTTAAAAATCATGAGAGATTTATTTTAGGAATAAATGTTCAAAAACTTTAAATTCAGACGTAGGAAGAATAAATATTCAAAAAACTTTAAATTTAAGATAATGTTGGTCTCGATCCATACTTGGTGAATCTCAAATTATGTCCAACGCTATAGTAATAATCTGCTGAGACTAGTGGTACTACTCGATCACAGGGAAAGAGATGATCTAGTCGCCTCATACTAACAGACCATGGAGGACAGTCGTCAATTTGACCCGGAAACGTGTCTCGAGGTGGGCCTAGACCGCTATACCCGTCAGGCCCATTGGACGAGACATTGTCCTAAAAAATAAGAGGCTCATTTTTATTTTTCTTCAATATTATGTATAATCAGCTACAAGGCAAAACGATTCAATTCCCAAGTAATTGTCATTAACTCATTTTATCATTTTGAAACCTTAAATCATTAAAGATATAAGCGAACAATGACGGGCTCATTTTCAATTAGTTAAATGCAGGCCATAGAACGTTATGGATTGGTGTTGATTATTACTCCTATAAATGAACTATAGAGACTTAATATTATTTTTTTTGTAAGGATGATAATTTCTATTCAACCTGTTGAGTTTAATATTATGCATTCCACTAATAATATTTACTTTAGAAAAGATTAAAAATAAAAATATTGTCTTTGTTGGATATATGAGTTTGTTCACTTTGTTACTTGTTTACAAGACTATTTAATTTAAAAAGATTGCCTAATTCAATTCAAATTTAAAAAGATTATTTAATTTAATTCAAAATAAATTTACTTGGTTTACAAGATTCAACCCAATACGTACCGTAGAAAGCAAAGCAAGGGATCACAAGTCCCCTCCAACCTCATTCGTTATTTATTGCTTATTTTCTTTTTTGGTTACAATTATTCATTGGGTTTATTTTGGTTTGCTTTATATCCCTATTCTAGCTTAGAACATTGTGTGTTTATTATTTAGAGTCGTGTTGGGTGTATATTACTTGTAATAATGTTTTGCATTGACATATACTTGTACACAAACATTTTCTGTCAGTGCAAAACATAATGTACACCCTCCGTCCTATATCTTTCTTTCCGTTGCGAAAAACGAAGAAAAATCTCAAGTTTTTTCAATCTATTTTATTTAAATATTGGTATAGAAATAAAAAATAAAACATACATAATTTAAAAACTACATCAAAAGTTCAACAAAACAAGTGGTGACAAGAATATTTTATTTTATCATATAGGCCATGAAAAAACACAAATAAATATAAATTCCCGTGAAGTTGGAATAGTGCTCTGGGAAGAAAGTTTTAGGACGGAGGGAGTATAAATGATGTAACCTATGTTGGTGTGCACATAGCATTTTTGTTTTATTTTTATTTAATAGCCATACA